TAATTGAAACTTTTAGTATAAATTATATATTTTTTTCATAAATAATCTTGTGATCAAACACTACATTTTTTAAAAACATCAATATACTATATTAATAGTCTTAATGAATCTTAATCATTTTCCCTAAAATATTTCAAATCTATGATAAAATAATTATGATAATAATTATGATTTTATTTCGTGATTTTAATTTTACTTCTACATTTGTATTAAGATTGCGATAAGATATAATATTGGAATTATGCGGCATACTCATAAAAAAAAGATTTTCTGATAATCAAGATAAATTTTTGCTTCACTTTGTTCTTGATTAAGTTGTCTCTATTACAATTTTCTTCAGACGCGCTCGTACTTGTAATAAAGAAACTCCTTGTTTCCAGATTGAGCTCTAATGATAGCAAAAAACATTTAAGATACCGTGCTAACGTGAAATTAGTATCTATGCTTCTCATTTTCATATAAGACCTATCTAAATATCTTTTTGTCAAGAAGTAAAATTTCTGAAATTCCTTAGAAAATTGAAAAATAAATCCATTATTTTAAAATAGAGATTCTAAAATTCTTAGAAAAATTAATTTTTATATATTTTCAAAGATTTTTTTCCAATAACGAAAAAATAATAAATTATAAAATTTATAAAACATGAAAAAGTATATCTGATACATAGATAATTATTTAGATCAAAATAATTTAATTTTTAATTAATTTTTCTATTATAAATATTTTTCCGAAATATTGCGAAATGTGATCGTTAATTATGTATGATTATATGTATCTTATTTTTAAAATAATTTTAAAATTATTTCATGAATAAGGTACAATGATACATAATTAATGCTCCCACTTAAAAATTAAATTAAAAAGATAATTTTATATTAAATCTACAAAGCAATCTCAAAAGCTATAAAAAAATCTTTGGTAATCTTTATGCTTGCAATATTTCTTAAGTTCTGTAAATATAATATCTGGTAGCAGACAGATTAAAAGAGCCATTGTAGCTTGTCGCATTGCGATAACGAGTAAAAATCTTGGAGATACTATTGTAACCGTGATAATCAGCCACTGATCACGATAGCATTATCACAGAAACGTGTTTCCCCGTATTATCACGTGCTCCACTCGCGCGATCCATGATCGAGGGACACGCAAAACTCTCACCTGGCTCACGTGTCGATAAACGTCACGCCCAATCACGAGACAGAAACCTTGATTCACACCTCTCAAGACTTGAAATCGACCACGAGCTTGCAACGGGCATTCTCGTCGCACCACATTGTTTTTCGAATATAGCAAATATCGCCCGAAGTACTGATCTCATAGAGCTTTAATTACTTATTTGCATAAGACTTTCTCGTCTTCGAAAACCGCTGATTATTGCACAATCTACGAGCCGCGTGCGTCAATCGCGCAATATATTAACTCGAAATATGCTGAAGCATCAATCGAGTTCCAAATTTCACAAACTAAAACTTATACATATTTCCCTTTTCTCTATTTCTTATTTTATTTAGTGTCTATACAGCACAGAAAATTGCAACAATATTGCGGCAATATTACAATGTTATTGCAATGTTATAACAATATTAATAATTGCTGCAATATTCTGTGTTGTATTGGTACGCGCGCATCATTATTTTCAAATTTCCAAATTACCGTGTTGTATTGTCACAGGCTTAACAAGAAATATGCATCGATCTAAATGCGCAGTTGGCGAAAACAGATCTTTCTTGATGATAAATACGATAATGTAGCTTGCAATATAATTATCTTAAATCAATAAGAATATTTGAAACTTAATTAATCTGATATTACAATTAACTCATGAATAAATCATATGCGGATTTACGTGTTAACATTGAATTTTTCTTATCATTGGCCGTACATATAATGCATCTAATGCGTTAATCATGAGTACTGAATATATTTGACTAATAATAAATAAGGCAATTATCGCAAATGAATTTGTAGGCGCTGTAATAATTTTTATAAATTGTAATAATTTTTATAAACTTGAAGATCATCACGCGAAAAAAACTTCTATAATAATATTCATATAAGTAATGGGTGTAGAATAAAAGAAAAAAATTAATTTCTGAATCTATATTAGTAATTGAGAAAATAGATGCATTATCTATGAGAACAGTAACAAATAAAATTATCATAATCCGATAAATATGTTTTTAAGCTATACAATCATCGTGCATGTCGATATCAAATCTTAATCTATATAAAAGAAGTATATCTTCATTCGTTAAAAGCATGATCAGTCATGACAATCGAGAATGTCAGTAATCAATTCGGCTAATATCTTTGATATTGTATAAAAACTATATTAATTATTATATTAATTATTAAAATAGAATTATATGATAAAAAAAAATCAAATTGAATATAATCAAATTTAAATCTATCACTCCAGTATGGACATACGAAATTCAGTTGGGACTCTGCCTCAAACTCAAACATTGAAATCTTGGAAAGATTTCAATCAAAAGTTCTGAGAATATTAGTGGATGCGCCCTGATTTATAACAAATGATATTATACGACGAGATCTCGACATCGCAACTGTTAAAGAAGTAATAGGAAAATATGTCTCGAAGTACACTATTAGACTGGAATCCCACCCAAATAAAATGGCAAATAATCTCTTTAGCGAACCAACAGACAAGCGTAGATTTAAGCGATTTAAATCATTAGATTCCATAAAAAAATTTATAAATTAACTGTATGCAACCAGTTATCGCATAACAGAGCTGTAACCGTTCATATACATACTATCATTCCAAGAAATTGTATACGCAACGAATATTTTCCAATGGGAAAATATCTTTCACGTTATTTGAATAGATTATCAGAATTTACTGAATGTCATATATTTGTTGACAGATTGCAAATTTCTTGGAGTTAAAAAAAATATATATTCAAATTTATAATAATCAATTTAATTTAATCAGTTAAACAATCAAGATAGAATTTAAATTGATATTATTATCGAGATTTGAAAAGTGCTAATCATCTAATCATCAAATCAAATAATACTGATATTTTAAAAAATAATAAAATGATTTTAAAACTGATGTGTTATTTCTTTTTTTTAAATAAAAAATAAATTTAATATATATATATATATATATATATATATATATATGTAAATCATTAAGAATAATGTATAATAAAAGTAACGCACAAATAAATATTATATATATCTTTAGTGGCAACAAAGATAAACCTCTAATATAGGAAATACAAATAAGAAATTTGAGTTGCAATGCTCAGATCCTTTTCAATTTACAAAATTTTCTTGTAAATTAAATCTTGACTTTTCGAAATTTTTTAGATTGTTTAATAGCGAAAGAAGCTTTTAAATACTTTAATGTCGATAAATAACGATTAATTGTAGATTTATAGTTTCTAAATACTTTGATAACAATATTATTGATCGCACCGCGACGTATAATATAATATCTTTATCAAAGTATTTAGAAACTATAAATCTATAATTAAAAGCCTAGTTATATAATGCATGTAAATTTTAATAGATATAAAAAAGAATGATTGATTATTACATTATAGATATAAAAAAATGATTGATTATTACATTATAGATATAAAAAAATGATTAATTATTACATTATAGATATAAAAAAGAATGATTATTACAAGTAAATGGACACTTAAATAAACAATATAATATAATGACAAGATATTTCTAAAGAAATCTTATCTTAATTTGAAGATAAAAACGTAATTCTAAAAAAATAGATGTAATAATAGAGCTAAATCACTATTTTATATCAATGCATATACCCACAATATTGCACATTTTGTAAAATTACAATGGAATATCAATTATAATAATTCCCAGGAAAAAACCTCGGAATTTCTCGGAATTTCAAACTTAATGCCTACAAATTGTGGATTGTTTTAAAAACTATATATATATATATATATATATATATATAGTTTTTAAGCTTTTAAGTTTTTAAATTTGCAAGATTTTAAATTTTAGAACTTTTGAGTTTATGAGATTTTGAATTTTCAAGTTTTTAGGTTTTTCTGTTTTTACGTTTTAGTTTTAGTTTTACGTCCTAAAATTTTAAAAATTTTAAAGATTTTAAAAGTTTAAGTTTAAGTTTAAGTTTCATGATTTCAAGATTTTAAAGATTTAAAGAGTTAAAGATACAAAGGAATAAAGACTAAATTTAAAGTTTAATCGCATGATAAGATAACATAAAATAAAATAAAATAAAATAAAAATGGGTATAAATATAAGTATATATATTATAAAGATCGATGTATTGAACAGGAAGTCCTATCCTTTAACCGAAAGGCAAGGATTAATGGATAATAAATAATAAATAATAAATAATATATATATATATATATATATATATTTATTTATAAAATAGAATTTTCATTTTAATTACATATCATGGGCTGAATATTTTTATTTATAATGATAATAAGATTACTCCATTACTTTTATAACTGAATAATTTAAACTATATCATTTTAATTACTAAAAAAATTTATTAGATATTTATTTAGATATTAAGAAATATATAAATTAGATTAAGAAATATTAACAATATTAATATAAATATTAAGAAATATATATATTAAGAATATATTAATAAACAATTCATTTTGAATTTTCCTTAAGAAAAATTATATTTGCATTAAATTGACAAAATTAATGCATTATATAAATAAAAATTTGTTAAATTTAAAATTAAAATTTAAAATTAAAATAAAAGTCTACTACTTTCTCTTCATTTGTGTGTTAGTTCGAGACAAAAGTAGATTTCGCGATAAGGTGTCTCGTGCTCACGATTAATTCGTATCGCGGACATAAGACAAAATGACACGGAGCCTGTCAATTACGGTTGGATTAGCAGCACGAGGGGGATCTCTCTGCCCCCTCTCTTTCCGCATGCAGAATCCGCATACTCAGTGTCCCTTGCACGCTTCACCACCTCGTGCACGGCCTTTGAAACACTATATAAAGTGACAAAGCTGGCTCGCTCCGGTATCTCTTCGCTTCACTTAAACTCGCGTTTTCCGGTCGCATCACACAATTCTAAAAGAAGCCACTTTTGTCAGGATCCTATCAGCGACCAATCGACTCAGAGAAGCGGCGATAAGTGATTAAGCGACGAAATTTAAAGGACACCGCCTGCAATATTCGCGCGCTTTATTCGCGAGAATGTCACGCTTCAAGTCGCACATCGTCAAGGCATCATTGAATTAACATATTGACAAGCCCAATCGCATTGATTTGACACCATCAAGAAGTGCTATATAGTACATTAAATACATCGTATCCACGTATTCATTCCTGTGACGTCTCAAGTAAGTGAAACTTAGTTTCCCGTTTATTGCATGCAAGATTAAAATCTCACTTTGGGATGCGAAAAACACGTGTAAAGAATCGAATAGTCAGTTTGCAGATGCTGAGAAGATGAAGAGATAAGAACTAGGTCGACGAGCGACCCTATTCACATGTACATACTAATATTGTAGGTGCGTATCATGTATCGAACGATATTCTGATAGATTACTAAATTGTTAGGAATTAGTTCACTATGATTTTTTAATTGACTCTAGATTTAAAAATATATGAGAAAAAAATTGACTCAAAAAGCAAATAAAGAAGACTGAAAATTATTATAAATATTACACATATCCAAAAATGTTTTTCTATGAAAATATTTAATATACTTTTTAATGTACTATAGTATGTACTTTAATGTACTACAATATAAAAATAATATACTTATCTAGACTTGTTAGTAATTATGCTACTCCTCGAAATCTTCAAGACATCGCTTATAACAAGCATATAACAACATCGTGTATAACAAGTCACTGTAACTGAGTAATTACATCTAATTGTTATGCATGGTGCCGTAACCAACCAATTTTCGAGCCGAAGTATTTGTAATAATACAAACATCTCGTAAACAAATTATAGAGTACCACGCAATAATTGTTTTGCTTCAAAGCGGGAACATAAGAAAAAATCGTATACCAATATTTAAACTACTTATGTAAACATAAGGAAATTGTGTGAACAGATATCGAATTGAAATTTCCCGATGTAAGCAGGGCATTCAGTGATATAGTAATTTTATTACATAGTTTGATAACCGATCCCTATAGTTCCCCTTTACACATATGATAATCGTAAAGCTAACAACTATAAATCAGGAACAGCTGATCACATCGAGTGAGCTGCGATTTATACTGACTACAATACCAGTAAACGCGAGTCAGTAACTGCAAACATTAAAGAAAACGAAATTGCGGACAATTTATGCAGAGACGCCGCGCAAAAAAATGCCAGTAAAGCAAAAAAATAAAGCTGATATGAGCTAATATATTTTTTCCAAGGTATTCCGAGAATTAATTATGTATGAATATTGTTACACTGAGAAAAATCGTTTAATTGTACCAACAAGACGTATATGATTGAAGGCATTTTGGTTAAATCAAACAAGAATTTCTAGTTATCATGATAAGACTCGATTTTTTATAATTAGAACGTTTAATAGATTTTACTATAAGGATTTAGTTAATATTTTCTTGAATCTATAAAATTTCTTGTTGCATTAACTTCTTTGCTTGCCACTAAGCGGCGAGCCACACCTAACTCTTAACTTTTCTTGTATTCAATATTTGCCATGAAACGTATAAAGAATTAGTATTAATATTAAATCCAAAATAAATTTTTTTTCTCTTACGAGCAGTGCCAGAAAGAGGACGCTAGTTCTCTGATTGTGTGTGTTTGAGCTGCATCCTCTTCTTGTATCGCTGTTTATCAGTTTAATTTCTAACAAATTCAACTTAAAATAATTTATTCAATAATCTGGATTGAATTTATGCAATAATTGTGTTGTGGAATTCAGAATATTAAACAGACTTTTGAAATTAGATGGAAAAAATTTTAGACGACTTGATACTAATGAGTTTAGTATTATTAACCAGAAAATTTAACAGGAAGAAATTAATCAGATTCATCTGGTAATTTTTACAAGAATTCTGGTTCGTCCATTTTCCAATAGACATACTGGTTGGATCTACTAGACTTCTAATTAATGTAACCAGATTTTTTCTCAGTGTATGAATATTTAATTTATGAATATTTAACTTAGCAAATTGCATGCAATAAACTGTCTGTATTAAATTTAATTTGTCAGAAACAAGGAGAATTAATGAAACTTTCAAACATGATAATAATATAGCAATAATTATTCAAGTTTCGCTTGAATTTATTTTCAAATATTTTATATCAATATTATATTATAAATTATATATAGTTATTCATTTTACATTATTTATATATATCTGTTATATATATCTTCGACTAAGTAATATAAAATGAAAACAAATTTTAAATAACGAATGATAAATCACGATAATCGACATTAAAACAAAAAATATAAAATGTATCTGTAAAACCGTACCATTAAAATAAGTATTGATAAACTTAAAATATGTATTGATAATTTTATGTTTAAGCGAATTTAATGTCGACGAGTTTTTTACAATTCTGATAACAATATTTACTTACTATACAACTGATAACAATAATTATTATTCGATCTGGCATTAAGTGAATAAAAGAAAATAAATTGCAGAAAATAAATTCTGCAGAAAATAATAACGAATAATTTATCTTATGTTACAGAAGAAGACATACACAATGAAGCAATATATCTTATTACTTTGTATCATAGCTGTTTTCCGGGATTCTAAAACGCTACGTAAAGGCTCCACGGATTATGAAGGTTTGTTATAATTTATGAAATAATTATTATCTGAATTAAATCCCAAAAATTATATAAGTATTTTAGTAAGATTTTGAATATTAAAATCTTGATTGATTTCCATATCGTATATGTAGATATATGCTTGAGATTTCCATATTTTTTAAATTATTTTTCACAATTACAATATTAATAAACAAATGCATCACAAATTCTAAATATATAATATACATACAAAAAAAGAAATAAATTATAAATAATATATACTATATGTATTGATAAATTTGAAAAAAAGCAGATTGTTTTTTTATTATTTAAATCAAACTTGTACGAAAAACATCTTATAATAAAACATCGATAAAATGGCCATCATGTGAAGTTCGTTTTTTATTAATCATTAATAGTTTATGTAAACCGATAATTTCGAAATATTTTCATGTATTCCATTAGATTAGATAAAAAGCTATTTATGTGTTCACAACGAATTTTATATATTGGAAAATGCATAATATATATTTCATTTCTTAAATTTTGCCCTCAGATATTCTAAAAAATCAATATTTAAACGAAATAAATGTTTAAAAATTGCTTGAAGTTTTACGCGATTGTTTATTAACGTTAATTTTGATAAATTTTCCTCCATTGCATCATAAGATAAGATTACAATCTAAAAAAAGCAAATCTCACTAAAACATTATTTGTCCAATGTTATTCATACAGCCATGTCTAAAAAATAGTTTAATATAATGTCCCTTAGAGAACTTCTTTGATGCCTCTTTTGAACTTTGATGTTGCTTACGAACATCACCCGATTAGTATTAGTCTTGGCAACGAGGCGAAACTTTGATCTCTCATCAGATATGTCCTTCTGGCTGAAGTCTGGCCAAGACACCCTACATAAGATCCTGGCGCACCGGAACAATGAAAACCGTGCCAAGAACGTGATCATTTTCATCGGGGACGGCATGGGTTTGTCTACCATCACGTCCGGTCGAATCTACGTAGGTCAGCTTAAAGGTCAATCCGGTGAGGAATACCAACTCGAGTTCGAGAAGTTCCCCAATACCGGTCTCGTCAAGGTAGATATTTAAATCGCATCGATCGCGTCTTTAATCTCGATGGTCTCGCGAGGCATAACGATGTTTGAAAATCCTGTCACGTTAAGCCGCTTAATTCCGTCGCTGCATTTGATAAGAACACGCCGCGTTTATCCGTATCGAGAAAATATGACAAACGCGGTATTCGCATTACAATTAAATCTCATCGATGTTGTAATTACTAAGTGTAAAAGTTCTATATCAATTTATATTATTATATTATTTATTTAACATCGTGCATCAACATCAATGACGCAATTAATATATTTTATCTTACCGGAAATGATAATTTTAATATATCGAAATGTACTTTGAAACTACTGACAGATTAGATGTCAATAATTATTGATAAGACATAAGAATCTGTTTTCTTGAATCAATATTACTTATTAATTGTCAAAATCATATTAGATAATAAATATAAATATATACGCATAATTGTTTCTCCATTAATACATATTTATAGACTTACAACGTGGATAAGCAAGTACCCGATTCCGCTGGAACAGCTACTGCAATATTTTCTGGTGTAAAAACGCGATATCATATTATTGGATTGGATGGCAGAGCTGAAGATGAAAAATGCGACAAAAAAATCGTTGAAATTAGTAAACTGTCCACTATAGCCAATTGGGCACAAGAATCCGGCATGGATACAGGTGAGAATTTCTAAAGACAACAACATTTTATTCTGAACAATTTCAAAATGGCTCACATTTTATACAAATTATTTCTTAAAACATTTTGCAGTTTATGTGTATTATAAATTTTGCTTATTATTAACTTAAAATTTGAGTGCTTTATTTTATTATTTATATAATAACAAATAATAACAAATAATTAATAACTGTATTAAAAATATTTTAATCAAAGTTATATAGCACAACACTGATAAAGAATTAAGATAATAATTCTATTAAAAAATTACGACATGGCACAATATTTTTTCTATATTTCCGTTAGTTTAGAATTATTTAGAGAGTTATAACAAATTAGTTTCAAAAGAGATTTTTATAATTTAATATAATTGTTTTTAAATTATAAGCAATTCTGCTAAGAAAGAAAATATTTAATAGAATTATAATTGAATAAAGTTAATTGAAACTTATCATTCATGATGAACAAATCTTTCCTTTGATTGTCGTTTAAAACTTTAAATCAACCGATAAATAAAGATAAATAAAATAATAAAAAATTTGATCAATCTATATCATATTCATTAATAGATAAAACCTTGACATAAATTTACGCTTAAGATTTAAATATTACAAAAATTCTTAGGAGGTTAAATTTGAAAAACAGATTAAAATCTTTCTTATATATCGATTATTATCAATTAATTAAATTTTCTACAACGCGATATTTCGCGAGATAGCAATCTACAATAAATTAAATTTATGTAATATGAAATTAAATTTTATATATGATTACATAGGCTTATAATTATATACATTAATAATTTTGCTAAAATTATAATAACTTTTCCTACGTCAATATATATATATATATATATATATATATATATATATATGTGTGTGTGTGTGTGATATTTATATCATATCATATTAAAAATACAGCAAATTTACACGGTTGTTTAATAATGTATTTTGTATTTAATTACAATTTATATTAAATAAACAAATCCAAATCAAAATATTAGTAATTCCATATTAATCTCATAGTAAAAATTGTGATTTACATTTCTTATATTAACACATATTGGATTTAATGAGTAAAAAAATATATGTTTACACTTTTATTTAATTTATGTTCAAATTAAAAAGCTTAAAATATATTTAATTAAATACTATCAAATTTAATATAAAAATTTGATTTTTTCCATTATTATTAAGGCTATTCCTAAAAGTGTTATGAATATGAATATTATACCCGCATAGTGCACGAATACAGTATCAATCCTATAGAGAACAGTGTCACGCGTGATCGGCTATTCCATTAACATAAGTGTTTGTGCTGAGTGGATCTTGTTGAGGTTATATATAGTGAAAGTCTTCTTAATAAACGAGAAGGTCATGAGCCAACCTTCTATATTGTCGAGGACAATTGGTCGCCCATGACTGATTTCTACTTTAGTAAAATAATGGAAGCTTTTTATATGCCAATCTAACTCGCCGATTAGTATTTAACACATTTATCTCCCATTGTACCTTAGCAATCCATCAGTAACTATTTTATGCGACTAAATTTGTATAAAAATATCTTTTATAGACATAATATAACACAAACGTAATACAATGCATGCGCGTATGCGTATTTGAATTTTTATATATATTTAATATTTTCTTTTATATTCTCTTTAATATAATATTGATATTAGAAACTTTAATAAATGTTGAATTATATTAGAAATTTTAATAATTTTCAGAAGTAATTTCCTGATATAACAAATTTAAAAAAGTTATTAAATTAATAAAATTTTAATTTTTCTCTTCTATCATTTTTACTGATAAATAAATTTCAAGGATTCATGTTTAATTAATTAACAGGATTTGTTACCACCACTCGTATTACCCACGCCACTCCTGCGGGACTTTACGCGCATACTAATAGTCGAGATTGGGAATGCGATAGCTCGATACCAATGAACCAGCGAAATTGTGCCAAAGATATCGCTAGACAACTCATTGAGGATGAACCGGGAAATCAATTTAAGGTAATTTGTTATATGTGCATTCGTATAAATCAAAATATAATCCCCAAATTACACAGATTAATAGATTAATAGATAAAAAAACAGATTAATAGCAAATAGCAAAAAAAATTGTATATATATATATATATATATATATATATATATATATAAAATTTGAATTAAAATTCTAAATGATTGTAAACAAATAAAGTATATATAAATTTATCAATTTTATCTACTTCATAGCATTTTTTTAGAAATCTGCGTACAATATATTAGATATTTTTAATCTGAAATGAAAATAAAATAATATGATTTGCCTCTAATAGTGACGATGTTTTTTAAAGGTTATTATGGGTGGCGGTGCGCAATATTTGGGTATGAATATGGAACCAATTGATTCCGATGCCTGTTTCCGATCTGATGGTAGAAATTTAGTAAAAGAATGGCAAGCGAATCATACCAAGGGAAGAGTCGTTAACAATACGCAAGATCTCATGTCTATCGATATTAATAATACGTCGCACATTCTCGGCATTTTTTCGCCTGATCATATGCCCTACCACGCCGTTAAAAGCGCCGAAACTCCTTCGCTGGTGAACATGACAACGCAGGCAATAAGATTGCTGAAGAAGAACAAAAATGGATTCTTACTAATGGTCAGTAATCATCATTGAACGTTAAATATTTATACCAAACGCAAGTTAGATTACGACACAGAAGTATTATTCAAGAAAAGCGCTCAATGAATATTAAAATGACATTAATGAGATAAAAACGTTAATCGAAATTATACACTATAAAATCTTAAGGGATTAATGATGATACGATTCTTATGTAAATTACGCGGTGATGACCATTTTCGCGTAATACGTTCCTAAATACACGTTCTTAGGGTTTCATCTTCCCGGATGCTTGTCGAGGTCGTATTACTTGAACGCATTATTCTATGCGTAATTTGAGAGAGCTGCAATCTTTGCCTAAGTCTTACAAAGAACTCCGAATTGGAATATTAAAAAACAGAATCAATAGAAAAAAAAATATTTTTTTCTTTAATCATTTTTTTTATATGATTTTCTAGGTTGAAAGTGGTAAAATCGATTTAGCTCATCATAGCAATTGGGCGAAACTAGCACTACGCGAACTGTACGAACTCGAGGAAGCGGTCAAGGTAGCTCTTCGACTCGTAAACTTGGAAGAAACATTAATCATCGTCACAGCTGATCATTCGCATTCATTCACATTGAATGGATATCCCAATAGAGGCAATGATATTCTCGGTTTCGCCAACAAATCTAAAGAAAAACCCTATGAGACGCTTTCCTATGCTAATGGTCCTGGATTTTTTTATCATCGGAGAAATGATAGCAAGAACGTTAATGAGACTTGGAGAGACGTCGCTAAGGATCCGACTCACAATGATCCCTTTTACATGCACTTTGCTGGCAAATACCTCAAGGATGAGAGTCATGGCGGAGAAGATGTCGGAATTTATGCTATTGGTAAGAAATACAATTTTTTTCCTTAACAAGGTTTCGCTCGCTAATAAGATTTTTATATTTTTAAAAGTTATATTATATTTTTAAAACTGTTTGCTTCTAATTATTTCTTTTAAAAAATAGTTTTATTATATAATTAAAGAGTAAAGAAGACTTTGCGTCATTTCATGAATTTAAATTTTATGTTTGCTTATTCAACATATTAAATGCTGTTTTAATTGTTTGGATCAATAGAATTAACTTGAAAAATAAAATGAGATTGCAATTATTTATTTTCGTAAATGACTTTGACAAATGATAGGAAATATAATATTAAAATCTTTTATAGGTCCTTATGCACATTTGTTCCGAGGTACTTTTGAGCAGAATTATATCGCTCACGCCGTGGCATATGCGGCATGCTTTAAAGATTGGCCGTCTCATTGCGGCAATGCTTATAATCGCTACTTTTATGGTATCAATAAAATACCACAAAATAAATTTAATTCGGCACAACAAAATACTATATCATTCATAGCTATGATCTTTTTGTTAACAATAATGTTTATACAACTCTGATAAAATATATTTCTTTTCAAGATAATACATTTCGTCAACCAAAATGAATGATTATATGCAGTCGCGAGAAAAATTAATTTCGATAAATTAATACAAATAATATTTATTTTATATATATTGCTTTTTTTCTCGCATCTAGTGAAGAATATTTTAACTGTAAATTTTGTTAATAATGCAAGTTAAAATAAGTCGTAATCATGAATATATTTTTTTGACGGCATGCTGATAATTTTCTTATAATTTTATTTATTATAATATTAAAATGCAAAGAATGATTACGATTTAATTGAATGACACAGATTGTGAGTAATACGATAATTTTAAAATAATGATATTTTCGAGCAAAAATATATCATTTAATATACTATCGAAAAATTAATATAAAAAAAATTTTAATATTTTTTATACAGTTTTGTTTTATACACTATATTTAATTTTACGAAAAATATGACAAATTTATAGACAAAATTTATGTAAAATAAAGAACAAATATAACAACAATTATAAATATTGATTTTCAAAATATATGAAATGAAATAATTTTATATAGTTTGACATGTTACTTATACAAAATGTATACAAATCTATGTAGATGTTAGCACACAAAAATATATTTTGTACAAATTAAGAACACATCTTTCGACCTAGATACTTTGTGACTAGGTAATTATACGTAAATTATTATGTAATTATGATTAAAATAAAGTTCCTTCCGTATCGTTTTGTAAATGTGTTTTATGATATAACAATTACATCATGATACAATATCTTATTTCAATTATTCTAAATAATAAATAATAATTTAATTTAGCTAAAAGTAAAAACTATAATTTAATAATAAAAAGTATTTTTCTATTACCATATGTATTGAATTGGACAATTTACCAACATTTTAATTATTACACAACTTTTTTATTAAATTTTGCAAACATTGATGTATACAATAAGTGTAGAAAGTAGTGTTGAAAAATTACTATTTACAGATAAATTTATAAATTTAAAATTCCAGAAAATTATTCATTTTGAATTAAATGCAAAAGAAATTTAAAAAAAAGAATCTTTTGTAAATCTATATGATTTTATCTTTATGATTTTCCCCTAATAATAGCGAGATAATAATTTTTATAAATAAGTGGCACCGCATCATCGCTAACGAAGTTTCTATCGGGTTTGATCGAGGCAAATGGATTTTTTTCTGGCTCCAGTATTGTTTCCACATCAATAATCGATTTTATTCTGATCATTTCTCGAGGAATTTCGTGCTTTGTGTAAGATGTCACGCAAACGGGAACCTGCGTTTTGCAGAATTCTCTTATCGTCTCTGGCCACGTATCTCTGCCTTCAAAGCCAGTTTCTCGATAAAGACCCGGATTAAAGAGACACACGAGATGAGGTTTTATAAACTGTTTGGAACGACAGAAATTGTGATAAAATTTTCCAGGATGAAATGAAACATTCACACATCGACCAAATGATTTGCAAGCCGAACAGATCTTTACAGCAGTTAAAAGATTTAATGGTACTGCCGGCAGTCTCAATTCCGGGCCAATAAATATTAATTTGAGATGCTTTAAATTCGGAAGAAAATGTAAAAAAAATTTTTCCCACACGTGCAAATTTATGCACTCAAATTGAAACTCAGCCCCTATTACGTGGACTACAAAAGTATCGATATTTTTCCAATCCTGACAAGAAATTTGCATGGAATATAAAGTTGTCAATGGAATAGTCGATATATGAGAGAGACTGCAATAGGTATAACAATCCATGCTGCAATAATATGTCGAACGATTATAAAGTTGTGCCATTAACAAATCAAAATTATTCGGTAGATGAAGTGGACTATTTTGAAAAGTATCTGGAATCTCGGGATCCACGTGACCATTTCTATGCTGCATAAATAACACTCTTCGAAATACCTGAAAATCTTGACACCATTCTTTATGTTTATCATCGTGATCCTTGCAGAATAATTCGATTTCGCATGTCGGACAGTATTTTAAAGCCTTTGAAAAATAACGACAGCTGCAACAAACGCGAGGGTAAAGAAGGATCTCTTTCTCCCAGGGCTCGAGAAGTCTTTTCAAGCGGCACTCTACAATCTCGATTAATTTTAGCCGATAAACACGATAATCGTCGGCGGTGAGATTCGGTAGAAATGACAAGCCTCCTCCGTTTGTGCAGACCTCGGTGAGAACTTCACATAGCTCGCGATGCTTCAACCATCCTTGCTTCTTGTGTTTAACGGTGCAGTAAGAAACCATGCCGCAAGATTCGCAGATCTCCTCCGATCGTTCCATGCAGATCAAACACAAGTTCGACACGAAGACAAAACGTGGCCAAAAGTTTAGCACAACGGTGTCCTCCTCTTCGTCACTGTCATCTGATTGGTGCTGCATCGAATGTACTAGTGGTAATTTTAAACGCTGATAAACATCGATCGCATTTTCGAGGGTAGAAAAATCTTCCTCTTTTTTTTTCGTCTCCTCTTCTTCGTCGGAATTCAATTTTTCTAATATTTTACTCTCGCAAATTTTTTGATTAACGCCCGAGAATTTTTTTGAATTTCTTTTTCTCCGACCCATCTCAAAGAAACTGAAATAATTAAACAGAATGAGTAGATCGAATTTGAAAACATTTTTATAAGAAAAATATTAATTTGTTTCGATTAAATAAGTGATCGCAATTTTACAAGTTAAAATCACGATATTAATATTTCAATATGTATAAAATAAAATGAAACACGTGACTTAAAATTAAAAATATTTCCATTTTTCGAAACCTGCTATGTATTACATAATGTATTACATAATGTAACAGTATATGAGAGAGTATTTCAGTATTTCTAGCGCGCGAACATGATTGATTACATAATCGCAGCCCGCCAAAGAATATGTAAATGGACGACCGTTTTAAAATATTACAACGAAAGTCACGTGCGTGCATTCTGTTGAAAATTAACACAAATTTCAATCACTAATAAATTTCGACTATAACAAACTCTATTTAGATTTGATAACTCATTCTATTTCTATTTATAAAAAAAAAAGAAGTATCTCTTAATTTAGCGCGCCATTAATTACAAAACGCTATTAATTAAAAAAAACTAATTTTCAATTTTGAAAGTATTATTAACATTATTATTTTATATGTATTTTAATAAATAATAAAATAAATATTTAATTAAATATAATTGTTCAAAATTCGAGTACTTACCTCAATAAATTCTTCAAAAAATGTTCTTTTCGATCCTTAATTAAAAATTCTTATATGCACAATATAAAACACTTTGTAAAAAACGATATATCACTATGCAACATGTTACTCTACAATATTTTAATTTTGAGTAATTCTCTCGCGATTCAGAGAAGCGATTTATGTTAATCCTTGTCGGTTAAAGATTAGACGCCTCGACTGTTCAAGACGTTACGTAGTATTGTTAATGCGATTACGCGATGGGCACTATGCCTAGTCTCCCAGACATAAAGTATTTCAAGCACTGTACACTACCAATGGGATTCGGGAAGACGGATAGTCAAACTCAAGTGATAGCTCTCTCGAGATTAACTCTCAAAAAAGCCGTATATTTTGGAACTGATACGTCAATTAATATACGATAAGTGATAAAATAATTTTGACATCTTAATTTTTGTAAGCATAGTATACATTTTAAACATTAGATTTATGCTATTATAGATATCAGAGCTTATATGTGCCAATTGATGTGTGTATGTATGTATGTGTGTGTGTGTGTGTGTGTATACCCTACGTCTGCAGGTTATTATTAGGAATAATATTGTACGATGAAATGAATGTATTCAATGCAAAATTTACTGTTCGATGGTCGCGAAATATATTGCGAAAATAAACGACGTAAGAAAATATGCACGAACGAGATGACTCGGCTATACGTAATAAAATATTTTTAAATTGACAGATTATTTCTGTGTGTAAAAAGTTTCTGTTGCAAGTTTGTAAACTTTGGTTATCGGTTTACAGCTAAGCACAATTTTGTGTTACCACAGAATTTTTATTCTTCTCTTTCTCTCTCTTTGAGAATTAATAAAAAAAACATAACAATATTCACCAAAGCAGCAACGCCTTTATAGATGTAGAAGCGTAGAAATCCAAGTATTGAATTTTCACATATCTGAAATACAAATACATATTTTTAATTTTATTATTAATATTATGTATATAATAATATAATTTTTAATTTAACATTATTTTTATATTTTTATATTATATTTTTTAAGTTACATTAATTTTTATTTAAATATATATATAATTTTTAAAATTTAACTATATTATATATTTAATATTATAATTAAATATTACATATGTATAATTATATACTTAATATTATTATTTAATATTAATTTTTAAATATAATTTTGTTAATTATATATTTTTATATATATTATATATTGTAATAAATTTATGAACTTAAAAATATATATAAAATATAATTATATATTTTATATATATTTTTTAGTTCATAAATTTTAAGTTAAAAAATTATTATATTTTATCTATATTCTTATTAATTAAAATATTTTTTCTTTCTTTATAACTTTATTTATTACTAATAACTTGAATAACAATATACAAATATAAATAAAAAATATAAAAATATATATTTAATATAAAAAATATATATTTAAAATTTTATTTTTTATAATTTATAAGCTCGCAGACGAGATATATTTTATTTCGCAAAATAATAAATTAATAAATAATAAAATAATAAATTATCTTAAAATATTTCTATTCTATTTTCCTAAGAGCAATAAATAAAATATGTTTTATTAAACAAAGGACATTTTGTATTAAGTTGTAGAAAGTGTACAAAGTGTAGAAAGTGTAGAAAGTGAAGAGAGAGAGAGAGAGGGAGAGAGAGAGAGAGAAGGAGGAATGGAGGGAGGGAAGGAGGAAGAGACAAACAGACAAAGAGAGAGAGAGAACGGGGGGAGAGAGAGGGAGAGGGAGAAAAAGAAAAAGAGTTGCGCGCATGCACATACACATATATATATATATATATATCTATTATTCTGTTTATTACTTATGATGCACTTTTTTCAATTGCATAAATTTGGCATTTTTTTGCTCTCAATCTCTGATTTTATGCACAATTTATCTTGTAATATAAGTCATAACGGTTACGCACCTGCGATCAAGTCGTACATTATTCTTTCACCATTTTCATTCCGATATTACACTCGACCGTATCTACCCGATTTGTCGCAATATTTATTTAACCGAAAACACTGTATTTGAGCACATCAACGCGAATATATATAACAAAAAAGAAAAAAATCAGAAGAAAATCACCGCACAATACGAGAACGATCGCGACGAAGCACGCGCTGAAATGATGGCTACGACTTCGAGAATCGCAAGCGACGCTTCGATAGTCTCGAAGCTGCCTGTGACGTCATAAACGTGATAGATAATTCGCTGCCTTCGCTACACGACACGTAAGTGCATGGTGCTGTTATCACTAGGAAGAAAATAATCAAAAAACTCTGTTTTTTGAGGAATATACGTGATTAAATCAGCATTGTACGCGGAAGCCGCGCTTATGATTAGCCGATGGACTCAAACGCGAAGAAAGACAATTGCACATTCGAGGTACGTGGCATATTTTGAGGTTATGGCGGCCGGGCTGTCAAATACTTGGGAAGGACAAAAAATTCGTTTTTTCGCAAAATTTTAAGATTCTTTTGTAAGGATTATCTCTAAAATATGATAGGTATTTATGATTAGACTGCATTAGTACGCATTTGTACGATGTGATTGTCACAGTTATTGTAAACGTTATAATGTTAAGTACTACGTATATCTTTGAATAAGAGGCTGAACTTCTTTTATTATGATGGAAATAGATAAAAATATTTTATTTAAATAAATTTCTTAGGAATTTGTGAAAATATCAAAGATTGAAGCCTAAAGAAACTTTGAGATTATAGTATGGCATGTGTCAATATTTTAATTTAAAGTATGAAATAAAATATAATAATTTAAAGATTATTTTATATAAATTATTCTTTAGAGAGATTATTATATAGTTTTTAAGACTTATTTTTTTAAAGAGATCAAGTAAAATTTAGTGGAAATTATGCATTGAATCATGCGTTAAATTTATTTTGCATTTGCAAAATTTGTAATATTTCTTAAAAATTAATTATATATTTTTATAAATCATTCTATTTACATTTTGTTTGTTTTAAAGCAGAGTTGTAATCATTATTTGTTTTTCTCACATATGATGAAATATAATATAATAATAAAATTTATATATATTAAGAAAGAATAAGTTTTTGTATAAAATATTTTATATTTTTTACTTACGCAAATGATTATAATTATGATCACTCAGAGAACTTGAACTTTATCCAAATCATACTTATAGTATAAATATAATATAATAAATATATAATATATAAAAGATAATATATAAAAGATAATTTGTTCCTTTATGCACATATATTAAAATTTAATGATATATTATGTGTAACAAATGCATATGTATATGCATATACATATGCATTTGTTACACATAATGCATAAATATATGATGTATTATGATCTAAAATAAAAGATTATTATATAGATTATTACTAATTTTATAACTATTATATTTAAATTATTTTTCATTATTTTTATATAATTTAAAATTGTTAAAAATTATCAGTAAAATTTTTGATAAATAAATGAATTATTATATAAGTATTTCCAATTATTTAGTAAAATAATTAAATTTTATTACTCACTATTATTTGCTTATCAATTGATGACTTTACAAATTATTTATAAAAATTGTACAATGTGAGAATAATTCATGCATTATTATCAAATTTTTTACACAAATATCGGAATATATTATGGCCAAAAGCTTCGAAATTTTTGTAATATGAGTATTAAATCTCTCGATTTTTATATTTTTATAATATGAACTTATGGTTATATCAATACTTTTTGAATACAACATACATCAGGCTCCACAATGTGACTAAATAAAAAAAAGAAAAACAGAAGGAGAGAGAGGGAGAGAGAGAGAATCAACGGGTTGTAAAATTAACACCAGGTCTAAATTAAAATTAGCTCTAAAACAGAGCCAAGCTGAGTTAGATGTGACGAAACATATCTGTCGCTTAAATATCTAGGGTCTAGTTAAACACTCAAATCATCGTCAATGCTAGAACAACAGCATTATTAAAGTCTAACAGAAAAAAAATATTTATTAATATTTATTAATATTTTTTATAAATTCTGTTCATTAATACAAATGTTACAAAATAATCGTAACCAAGTTAATTTTTGTAATTTTATCTATAATATTAATATTTATTCACATATAATATTCCAATAATTTTTTGTTTTATTTTCGTAAAAATCTTTTAGTATAATGGATATTACCATTTTTATTAATTTTTAATAAGAAAAAATTAGATTAAATTACATATAAATATCTATATATATATTTATAAGAAATATGTCATATATATTTTTATTAAAGTAGTTCTTATCATGAAATATTAATTTCAGCCTGTTTTTCCTGTTTTTCATCCTCTAATCTAAATCTTAAAGAATTATCTTTTATTTGGATCTATTGATTTAATTCAAGAATGAAATATCAATCATCAAATGTCAACTATCTCGTTTGAAAATTACAGAAATAAGTAATTGTTTGACTAAAGAAATATTTTATTTTTGATTGTAGCATTCGTCGGTGATTTATAAGAGGAAAGCTAACAAGGATGAGCCATGCGAAGATACAAGAAGATTATTATGAATACAGTAAACTTCGTCATAGAAAATTAAAAAAGAGCAGTTCATCGCTAAATAAAATGGTAGGATTGGGTAGTGACGAGCTATTCGTTTCGAATATCGCCGATATCAATATGGAATTGGAGATCAGTTCTGAGGATGAAAGTGATGACAATGAAAGAGGCGATATACAACGGCTGATACCGTCAGTGAATAGCGAAATTACCTACAGTAGTGGAAAAAAGGATAGCCAAAAGAGCGAGGCGAAGAATGCAGACGACGAAAGCGTCTGGTCTATATCCATCCAAATGTTCATACCCTTTTTACTCGCCGGCTTCGGTATGGTCGCCGCTAGTTTGCTACTAGATGTAGTGCAGGTATTAAAAATCAATCCCCTCTAAATTATTATAAATATATATAATTATATATCAACTTATTTTTATGCTATATTTTCATACATATTTTTCAATAATATTAAAATAAGACATATATATAAGATATTTTATATATATATATATATATATATATATATATATATATATACATATATATATATATATATATATATATATATATATATATATATCAGTAATCTATAGTTTATTAAAAATTATCTTTTTTAAATGATATTAAAAATTAGAAATAAATTTATAGGCTGATCTTTTAACGTAAATTAAAAAATGATAAATTTGATTTTTTTTAACAAATGTGTTAAATTTTAGCATTGGCCAGTTTATCAGGTGGTATCCGAGGTGTACATATTAGTTCCTGCATTATTAGGCCTAAAAGGAAACCTGGAGATGACATTAGCTTCCAGATTGTCAACTCAGGCTAATCTAGGTCAAATGGATACAAAGAAACAGCAATGGACATTAATCGTCGGAAATTTGGCTTTAATTCAATGTCAAGCTATGGTGGTGGGTCTGCTAGCGTCCTTAGCCGCTGTGAGTCTCGGTTGGGTCCCAGAAGCTCATTTCGACATCCACCATGGACTTTTACTATGCGCTAGTGCCTTGGTCACTGCTTCCGTAGCCAGTTTCCTGCTGGGTCTTGTGATGGTTGCAGTCATACTATTGTCGCGGCAAATGAATATTAATCCCGACAATGTTGCTACCCCGATTGCTGCTTCTTTAGGAGATTTAACTACTTTAGCTCTTTTATCTTGGATCGCTTCTTTGTTATACAACGCAATAGGTATATAAACGATTTATCCTTAAATTGATTTATCCTTTCATACTTTTTATTATACTCAAATATTCTAGAAACACGTATAATTCTCTCCAGATTACGCTCCATGGATAGCTCCAATGCTAATAGTATTTTGTGTATTTGTGACTCCTGTGTGGGGTTATGTAGCAGCCAGAAATCCATTTACTAAAGAAGTATTGGATTATGGCTGGACGCCTGTGATATCCGCGATGTTAATAAGCAGGTGATTTTTCACATGTGCATTCGAGAAAAACATTTTCAGAAGACGAATACGCAATTCAATGAGTAACATTGATTTCAGTCTTGGTGGACTGATCTTGGATTATACCATATCGAGTTACAAAGGTATAGCGGTTTTTCAATTAGTAATTAATGGCGTTGGAGGGAACTTGGCTGCCGTTCAGGCCAGTAGAATATCGACGTCTCTGCACAAAGACTGTCACACGGGTATTCAAGGAACTCTCAATGTTTGCATCAGTCCATTCCATGCATTTTTTACAAAAGGTAAGTTTATTGTAAAGATCCATATCACAAAATTCAAACATTGCAAATTATAATTTAACAAAGAATTTTCATTGTAGGAGGACACGCAAGAACAGCTAGAGTATTATTAATGATGGTGATACCAGGACATTTGATCTTTAGTTACACCATTAGTTACCTTCAAGCAGGACATACCTCATTTACGCCTATATTCATTATGATATATTTAATCGCTGCAATGTTGCAGGTATAATACAAATCTGTATAAATTATTGCGATATAAATTGCTTCGTAGATCAAACAAAATTTTTAAAAAATAATAAATATGATTGATTTCATTTCTAGGTAATCTTGTTGTTATATATCGCGCAATTGATGGTCGTTTGGATGTGGACGAGGGGTATAGATCCGGATAGTTCTGCGATACCGTATTTAACGGCAATTGGCGATCTTATAGGCACTGCGCTTCTTGGAATTGCTTTTCATATCCTTTATGCCATAGGCGATGGCGATTCCGACGTAGGAGATTGATCTGTTCAAAAATTCAATATAATGCTAAAATAACCTGCATAATGTTTCAGGTTATAATATTTGAAAGTATTCTTCAAAAGACTACAAAAGAAGTTTAAATTCATAGAGTTCTTAATGCGTCGCGTCAACCATGATTCGAGATTATCAGTGGCACTTTCATTGCTGTGAGTTTTATTCTTTTGACAAAACATTATGTTTTACTCTCAAAACAAAACATTTAACATTTCTTTATATGAAAAAAGTATGTTAAAGAGTACAAACTAAATTAAGTATATAATTAGTAAAGATATATTGAATGCAAAAAAGAAAAATATATATTAATAAATATATATTAATAAAATTAATAATAAAAATTATAGTATTATGATCAGTTGGAAATAAGTACACGTATTATTATATTTTATGTCATTCTTTGTTTGAGGGTAAAATGCCGTGACAAGTTATTTTTTTAAGATTGATTAATTCAGTCGTAAAATAACTGTATATAAAATTGAGCTATAACAATTTGATTTGATTAGGAAAAGTATACAATAGATGAATAGCAATGTTTGTCACATACTTATTTAAAAAGAAAAATTTCGTACTATTTTTTATACAATTTGTACGAAATCATTTGTATTACGTCACATCATATTTGACATAATACTTAAATGAATTGAAGATATACTAACGTTTAAAATTTTTGATAAATCTTTTCAATGCTCTTTGCATTTTGTAAAACTCTTTTGCCAGAAAGTGACTTTTTAGAATATGTACCACATTTATAGATGTTATCCGCAAATGTTCAATATGAATAATACAAGAAATATAAATTTATTTTATATTATAATTATTTCGTGTATATAGTTGAATAATAGCAAGTAATTTTTTTCATTGAAAAATATTTAAAAAAGTATTTTGTATTAGAAAATTAATTTTTATGAAAACATTTAATAATATTTCAAAAAGTCATGTATAAATGTAAATATGATAATATATGTCACTTTTTTACAAATAAGAAATTAAATACTATGTATAAATGCATTCTTTTATTATAAAATTATTATATACTCTTGTTGTTAAATTAAATAATGTTAGATTTAAATGATTTGTTTATTTGATTTTGCCATGAAAGGAAATCTTATATATAGAATATTTTGCAATGTTAATAACTAATAATATTTTGCTGGTATACAGTATATTCTTAAATAAAAATAAATTAATCCTTTTTTTAAAATACTAGAAAAATAAAATACTAAAACTACTTTATTAACGCTATTTAATACTTAAAAACTGCTATAGATATCCGAAGTAATGATGAAAACTTACTTTTTGTGTGTGTGTGTGTACATATACACGATGTATGTACAATATATAAATAACAGATCTAACACAACAATTTGTTACGTTTATGAGAGAATAAAGTCTCTTCTCATAGATAGTTCATTATATTATTAATATTAGACTCACAACAGTTTGGAGATATATATAAAAATAAGATAATTTTAAATAGTTATTTTTAATTAAATAATTTAATCGCGTAAACATCCTGCGTATCAAAATAAATATTCAAGTATACATAGTATTGTAAGATATTAAAGATTTGTTGACAGTTAATCTCTCTCTATATACATATATATAATAACAATCTATATCATATTATAATTTAACTGCGCGCGTCTTCGAACTTATTTGATATTTATATCATATTACTTACATTCAATTGTACATGAATTTTTATCATATTTTTCTCATTGGAATATTATTTGATAATTTGCAGATAATGGATAATTTCTGCGAGCTTCGACATACGAATAGGTTTTTCATGCACCGATGCGTATTACACGCATGTGTACATAGATATATACGTACAGACTGAGTGCATATGTACCGATCACGACGCAACAGGATCCATGTCTTCTCGGCTGCAGTTTAGAGCCCTGTCATACATCCTCCCGTTCGTTCTCGCTTCGTAACCACCTACACCGTAATCGCACCGTTCGTCTCTCTCCTATGTGTGCATCGGTTCATTCATCTACGTCGCCATGTCACGCATAACGCGTCTACACGCACACGTACACGACGACGTTTCGCGCGGTCAAGCCCGACGACGACGACGACGATTTACGCGGTCAAGCCCGACAACGACGATTGTGAATGAAATAGTTGGATCTGTCAGTGCCAACTATCGCGTCGTTCCCGGCGCGTACACGGTGCTTCTCTCTTAGATCTTATCTAAGTCGTCGTTCACGTTATGCGTAAAGCATAGTAAGTGGCCGCGAAAAGAGAGCGCGATATTAGTCCGACCTAAAGGTCGCGCATCATTCAAGGCTCGAAACCGTTCTTATTTTGGTGAGTTCGATTCTCGATGCCGCGGACATAAAGAAATTCGATGGTGTTTGCAATCGTAAACTGATCAACAGAGAAAATAATTAAAAGAAGGAGTCTGAAATCTTTTTTTTACACATGGAATACTATTAGAGAATGAAAACAATATTAATTATAACACAAACGCTACAAAATGTGTAGCTCGGTCGAATATGTAGCGAGCAACATTTTTTATAATCTTTTTTTTATAATCTTTGTCTTCCCGTTATTTCCGTGCAAAACTTGAATGTACACTTCTATTAGTTTAAATAGGGGAATTTTTTATTATTTTAAATGCGGCTAAAAAATAAAAAAATACAACTCGACACATATATCTTCTAATTCAGTTCGACCCTGAACTACTTTTATAATCGCTGAATTATAAAAGTGACAAGGGTTACTGGTTCTAGAGACTCATTGATAAATCAGTTTCAATTCTCGTGCGATGCCCCTCATCGGGATCTACTTTTTTAATACAAATTTTCTCATAGATCTCTAATATTCTGGAAAATTTTCTGTCGAGTGTTAATATGAAGAGACGACTGATAACGAATATGAAGTAATCGACCGCGTGATAACAGTCATAAACGAAAGATGCGCTGTGATCTCTGACGCTAAATATAATTGCAAGCTGAAATGCTGGATTGAATGATGATTTCAGTTACTGCAAAGTTTCGTCACTAGCTTCTTTTCGTGGCGTTCGTGAGCGTCGAATTTATTGCGATAACTGGACGATCCACATAATTTATATCTGCATTCCAATTGAAGATTCCTCTTTCAAGATTACCCAGGTAAAAGCGCGGAATATTCGTTTTCTTTCGCTACGTTCATTTCGGCGAATAAAAAGAAATTATAAACAAGTTCATCGAGAGATCATCCACCGTTTCGTGCAGCATTCCATGGACCATCGAGCGAAAATCGAATGAGTGCTCTCACGTGCGCGATCGTCAAGATGCAAAGCAGCACCGCGGACTCTTCGACCGCGACGACGAGCGAACGCATCATCGTCCGGTGTAGCTGACCACCGTGTAAGTATATAATAGCTAGTACATATCAGAGAAAGAGAAAGAGACCACCCGCGCGCAAACTGTTGCACCTCGCATGCGATCTCCATCCGGCGACGAAAATAAAATAATCGCGCGACGCGCGCGAGCGAGCGACAGCCTGGTGGATAAGATACACCGGGAGAGGCGAGGTATCAGAGCGGTATGTTAAGTTATTGCCCGTCATGGTCGAACTTAAACACGTGGAGTAATTTATCAATCTGCGAATATGTTACGGAAGCGCTTAGGCGCTCGTGTCGCCCGGAGAGCGGACTTGTCGATGGAAAAGCGTCCCGATGTAAAGCGCTGAGAAAACGGACTCTGGAAAAATTCGCGGTCTAATAACAAATCCATTTGAAATCTGACAACGAAAGCAGATGATAGAAAATTGACGTAATTCTTCAATGCGTTTATATACATGCGATATCCAAAGATACGGAGTGATATGTCACAATATTGGGCGGTATAAAGTATAAGAATACTTTGCGAACACTTTTGAAATATCGAATCTTTATTCGAAGAGGGGTTGAACTAATTGTAAATAAAAGATTATATTAGAATTGATACAAGAGCCATGTGTCGCAAAAGTTTCTTATCTTTATTATCTGGGTGAATTTATAAGCGATAGGGTAAAATTAGAGAATTTATGGTTTTCGCGATACGTAAAACGTGATGCGCCCATAAAATGTCTTATCTGTACCACCCGCGGCAATAATTAAATATAGGACTGAATATGATTGACATACAACACGAATTCCTGCATTTTGATACGGTATGTTTACAAGAAAAGTGAGAAAGTTTAGTTTTTAGTACGGTGTGTAAAATGACGATGAAGAGCATGGGCCGACGAGCGTGGAGACGAGTGTATAAAAATATCACACGACGAAGATGGCAGTGCCAAATCGCGTGTGGTCCATCGCATCGAGAGTTCCTCTTGAATTGCACGCGATAACACTTTGTGTAAACTAGTCGCGAGTTTCATCAAAAAGATACCGATGTATTCGCAACTATTGTTATCAGTCTAGTCGCTACCTATTGTGTCACGATACACTCTCGAGAAAGCTCACAATTGGGGAACAAGAGCGCGAGACAAACTCGATTAATCGATGTCCATTAAATGCTTCAATTTAATTTTTTGCTGAAATTTCGATTAAATTTTTAAATGAAATTGCAATCGAATAATTTGTATTTATTTTTTGCATTATCCAGATTTTTCGCATATTTTATTTGTACTTATCTTATATCTATAGAAAGCTGAAGTTGAAGATTTTACGATAATGCATTTATTTATTTAACGAAATAATCATGTTTCTCGTTTAGTTGCTCGATTGTGTGTTATTTGTGTATCCGGTTTTATTATACGGTATAAGGGTCCGTAATTGAAGAAGCAAGTATAAGATAACACTTGCGTAATGCTCTCTCAATGATGCTCTTATTGTTAGCTTTTAACATATTTACGATATATAGGTGGTACATATAAGGACAATTTAAAAATACGCATATAACAAAAGATTCAATATCTTAATAATATTCATCGAATTATCGAAAGTGTAGATTAAAAAGTCCCGGTCTAAAATTAAACGAGTTCCAACGAATCCAAAATTATATATTTGCTTCTATGTTATCAAATATATTCATTTTTTGCAATTTACAGATAACAACCTGTCATTTTGCGAATATAATCATTTATATTTCTTGGAATAAATTATTTATACTATCGCATAAATTTTCCAAAATGAGTTTAAATTACAAATACATTTTAATTTACACTCGACAGTTAGATTAATTTCCTAAGAAATTAATCATAAATTTCATTAAATTACTAGCGCACTATTTCTATTATAAATACAACTAATCCGGATAAATTACAAAAAATAATTAATGACATTTGATTCGAGAGTTGTGAGATCGAACATATGATCAATTAATTGATGGTGACAATGATACTTCGTTTAAAGTGATTCTCACGACAAATTTCAAATGAAAAACATACGCAATTCATCACTTAGGAATGGCTTCATGAATCCAGTAAATTAGTATATCAATTATATCATAAACCAGTCACACATAAAATCTATTAACATCAATATAACCGATATTTAATTCATCGCCATCATTTATTCGAATTGCACAATGACAGATGTTTTAAAAGATTTTTTAAAATTTTTTATGTCGCACACACACACCCCCATAATTATTTCTCATTTTTAATTATATTTTTTTACTTTCCTTTTTTGAAATTAGAATTAGTATTTGATTGATGCTTATATTTATGCATACATTACAATACACACACATAATAAGTTAGTTTTATTTTTTAAATTATTTAATTATTTATTTATATTATTTATTTATTTATTTATTTATATTATTTTGCCATAATATGATTTATAAAAAATTATAATTGCAAATAAAATTATAACATTAATGTATACACTATTTTATATCTATAGTGCATATTTTATATAACAAATAAGAAACGTATGATATATTTATTTAACGAGACAGATCAAATGTCAGAGGATTATTTATTTATGTTACATAAAGATTATTTATTCATGCTACATAAAGATGATTTACTTATGCTCTATGCAATCCATCTGCGACGAAAAATGTCAAAGAACGATTAATTTTTAAAATACAAGATATTTAACAGTCTTATTATATTTATATTTGTATGATAATAATTTATATTTCAATATATATAATATATGCTATTTTTTAAGAAATATCCTAGCATTAAATTAATACAATTAGTCATGTGAAATGTGGCAAAAATTATATGTAATTGCAAATATGTAACATTAATGTAAATGTAACGTATTATTTTTTCATATTTATAACACATATGTCTATAATGCATTGACTAATGAATAAAAAGAGAGTAACATATTGACTTAACAAGATAGATCAGGTAAAATTCGGGATAGTTCAGGTAAAATCTCACATCTTTATTTATACAGACAGGAGAATCTATTCGCGCAACTAAATTACACGTGGGTATACGCTGTTTTATTGAAATTGCCGGAGAAAATCATCGCGTATTTGAATGTGTTCTAGTTACACGGTTCATTCAGGTCCGGTTTCAATGTCGACCTTTGTCGAGTCAAGAGCGGACCTTACGTAATCGGCGCTTTAAAAGGAACCACGAAAGGTATGCGTGTGGAAGCAATTTATATCGCTTTAAATCGGATATGATTTAAACCTACGCTTATGAAGGAAGTAGAGATCGAGTTAAAAAATGTCTTCCGCGAAAGAACCCAATAATATAATATTAAAAAAAGTGTAATATATATAGCGACCAGAATATTAAATCTGAGGAATATTATTATTCCTTTTTTAAGAAAGAAAAGAAAACGAAAGAATCATAGAGAAAGAAAAAGAATATATCAAAAAAGGCAATATTCAATTTTAAATTGAAAATCTTAAAATTATAAATTATTAGAATGAAGAGCCTTTGACAAACTGAGTACAAAATATATGATTAAAATCAATTGCAAATTGACTTCAATAAAGTAAGATTTGTGCATCATACTTAAATCGTTAAATTAACAAGTGGTAAAAATTAAAGTTTTGTTTTTTAAATAATTTAAATTATAAAATAAAAGATTCTCTCTCAATCATTATTCACTTTTACATTCCACTTAAATATATTTATAAAATTAGTATGCCTACGCTACCACACATGATTGATAATGAAAAAATTATCCGAACAATTACAATGACACATTATGGTTGTTCGAAATTGTTTAACAAGTAGACGATAACATAATCGATAACGTACAAACGATCGAATACACATAAAAATATTATTAATAATGTTTCTGCCCTTGCAACCGCAAGACATTATTGACCTCATTATTATTGGATATAAGATCGATATCGCATTCGAATCGTGTCTGCAATAAGTATATAGAAGCACGATTGTTCATTGCTCAATAAAACATCGCTATCAATTTGATTGTGAATTTCGCAGTACGAGACAAAATCGCGAGGAGAATAGCCTCATTGAATGAACGAATTTGTCAATTGATGAAGTGTAAAGTTATGAAATTTAGACAGATCTAAAATCAAGAGTAACCAAAGAACGATATTCAATCACGAGAAAGAAACTTGATCGAACCGTAAAATGATCTCGAAGAGTAATTGTATCATTAACAACGTAGCCGATCGTGTCAATTACTGGATCTCGATGATGTACATCTTCGCCTTGTTGATCGAAGTGATCACGAATCGACACTTCAAGTGAGTAGTATTCTGTAAGCTTATCACTACTTGATACCGTATGCGTTAGCTAGGGTTGACATAATTAGACACGCAAACATATCAATCTGTCACGTTTTCCATGAAATAACCGACTGTTATTCATCAAGGTGCGAATTGCAAACAGTCGCGACATCATTAATGATGTCATTAGAGATTTGTGGTCACCAAGTTTTTAGCACTTATCGATTTCATCGTAGTTTTTACATTATTTTAAACAATAATTTTTTTTAAACGGTGTAATCAGCTTTTTCATCGATCTCAAATATGCAAAGTTTAAATTTCAATTAAAAGTTAGAAAAATAGATTTTTAAACAATTATATTTTTTACTGCATTATTATTATACGACTTTAAATTATTTTTAATAATTTCTCAAAAATTTTATTTATTCTCTGATAATTACACATTGATTAATCATTGAGTATCGCTTTCGTTATTTTTTTTTCTTTATTCGTGATTCAATTCGCGTGTATCTTTAACATCAAAAGAGCTTGTACGAACAGGAAATACTAACGTTTCAGCGGAATAATAATTAGAAAAACGAGACTATATAAGCGTGACCTAATCCTCAAGTTACCAGAATACAAATTGTCGTGTCACGAACGGTCAGAGTACTGCTCCTACACAGGATACGGTCATAGACGGGCCAGTGAATCCTATTCGCGCGTCATTGACCGACTGACTGTTATAAGCGAATTTTTCCGCTCCATTTTAAATAGGATTACGCTGAATGACAAATGCAGCACTTAGATCGATAGAGATTGTAATTTCAATCTTTTCGTAGAACATAATAAGAGAAATGTCATCTTTCTCTGAAGAGAGAATTGAATCACGTAGTTCAAGCTATAAATACATGTCTTTTTTCAGTATATAATTTCATTCAAATTTATTACATCAACTCGTTAATTTAATCGGTAATTTGCTTATGAGAATTCAAATTGTTTACATAAGTTATCAAGCAATCGAGTGTATTTATGTATTATGCAATTATGTAATATACTTTTTTCCCATCGCGTTCACGGTCAACACATTTTATCGACGTAGTGCTAACACGATATTGCGCATAAAATCGAAATTAAAAGGAAAAAAGAAATATGACGAAACAAGGATATTATAAAACGCAATAGCAACATACAGCACACTAACTTAATAATTGTGAAAATGATTCTCAATCTAAAATCTTATCTAAAAAGACGTAATCGCGAATTCTTGAAGAAATTCAGTCTAACTTTATAGAAAGCATATGCGGAATGTTAAAACACTTTTACACATATTAATGCATGTATATATAATGATGCCTTTCCTTTTTCTAAATTCTGCTATCTTATAATTATAGAATTATAATATAATTAAAGGGAAGAAAATATAAATAAGCCTGTGTATTGAATGTAAAAGTATATTACGTAAAAGTATACTTAACGAGCTATCTTTACTCTCTCAGGAGTATTATCGAATAAATTTAGAAAATCAATAACAATCTCCACACGTTGGCGGAAGTCACCGTACATAAAGCATTGAATACGAACGTTGCAGTTGAAAGATAGTCATCGACAACTTTTGCATTTGTATCAACTGGACAACTAGACTTCGGCACGTGGTATTATAATGTATATTATATGTGTGTAATTGCAAATCAAATTTTAAAAATCATTAAAAATTTTATAAACTCATAATTGTGTTTGTAAAACTAAATAAAACATGCACGAAGTAAATAAAATAAAAATAAATTAAAAAATTATGACAATTATAAGAAATCATAAGAAAAAGTATAATATTAGAGAAACGTTCTAATTGTTTGATTGATAATCGGTTATAATTGGAAAATTTATTTATAGCAAACGAAAAATTTCTTTGATATTATTTTACAATCTATGTGATGTTAATCGATTGCTGAATTAGTTTAAGTTTAATATAACGCTTTAATGAACTCGAAGCACAAAAAAATTTATAGAATATTATTGAGATGAATTAATTAATTAATTAATAAAATATTTATCATTGAATTATACAGCACATATAAGCAAATCGCGAAAATTATGCAAAATGAAGGCGATTGTGTAACTGGCGCGTAAATTCATGAATGAGCCAGAAATTTCTATGTGTATCAGCTGATGATTGATGACGTAAGCGATGTTTGTGTAACCGCCACATGTGTGACGTCACTCGCAAGGGAAGATATCGAATATTGTTCGTCACATTATATCACATGTATTTAAAAATTTTTAGGAATAATTTTTGAAAAAAAATCCTATGCATATCTTAAGGATATGCAAGGAAGATGATAAGTAAGAGAGAAAGTATTGATCAGCTCAAATCAATATCCAACAATATAGAAGACGAAGTTATTAAAATGATTTTGAAGAAATGTTTTTTTAAATACGAATCTTTCAGATTACTAAGTAAAATAAAAACAAACTATAAAAGAAGAATTATAATAAAAGAGTGCAAATTGCATCGAAACAACGAGGTAATAAGTGCTCACGATGGAATATTTCAAGACGACGTCACTAGAATTTCCAGCGCGATGGCTCTTTCTGATAGAAAATGATGACTAAAATACTGACAAATCCGCACAAAAAACGTAATAAATTATCGATAACACAACGCGATTTAAATGTATTGGAACGATGACGCAACTGTCGACGATGGATCGTTCCCAGTGACGTCACGTTGGGATTTCAAGCACGAAGAAGACCCTTCCAGACATCTGAGAATGACGATAGGGGTTCGCTATTGGCGTACAGATACCAGAATAGCATCGAGGAGTTTGCGGACTGACTGGAAAGTGGCTCGGATCGATAAACATGCGTCTGCTCCGTCCGGCGCGCCACCGACATATACATACACGCGCATACACAAAGACACATGTGTCCCCAAACTAGTTTTAAGGAGGCATGCATACACGCGGGCACGATGCACGATCACGATCAGTCGCGATGTAACCGCAGCGTGAGACGGCCTCGCACCAGGCCACCGGGTGACCGCCATCAGATGCTCGACGTAGGCTGATCTCGCGCCGAAGAACCGATCACCGGTCACCAAAACCGGCGATCAGCGACCTGTGACACTGAAGGGGGTCCAACGGTGGGTCTTGTACTTAGGAATCATCGGGGGTCCGTCTGGACCACGCCTGAAGAATCAGGTATGGGCGGAAGGGACGAAAAAGCTATCCATAGTCGAAATTTCTTGGTCTAACAAGATGTTTTAGCGAGAAAATATTTATTTTTGCGATGGATTGTGAGCTTTTTTGTTCAACGATTTCCACGGATTAATATTCAACAAATTTGGATAGAAGTTTAAAAAATGTCTAAAAGTTTTATGTCATGAATAGAATGTAACAATTGTGCGTGCAGCAAATTTCTTCGAGTTTAAGAAAATCAAATAGAGATTAAGAGTGATTGAAAAGTTCAGTTCCATCCATCTTTTCAAAAAACTTTAGAAAAATATGAATCCTTAAAAAATTAAATTTTAATTGATTTCTTTACGATGTTAAAGAATGAATTAAATTCTGTATTCTTTTAAGATCTTTCAGCTTCTTGCAAACATCGTGATTTTTTCTTTTAAGGGCGTTACCTCGATATTTGGATTTGATTGCGAAAAACGTGTGTTCGGAGTAGATAGCCGGTATCGTAGATACAAGATAGTCAGCGATAAACCTTATGAATTTTTGAACGTTTTTTTCAAAGTCGAAATCGTGCCAAATCGATTAAAAGCGTTTCAAACGAAAACACGCGTGCAAAAATCCAGTTTGCACGTTTGCGGAAATATGTTATTCGTGTGTAATCGACAGCTCTATCTGCTCATTGTTGATTCAAAAAATGACGATGAACGCAAGATGCAGATAAGCGACAGAGAACTCTGTCGAGGTTCTTTGACGACTTGATTGTGCGTAGGTTAAGGTTACAAGAACTCGTATAATTTGCGTGACGAAATGTGCTTTTCAGACCTAGCTGTGCGATCGATGCATGACGCAAAGCGAGCAGCTGATCAGACAATAAAGACCAAATGCAATTGCGCGATTGATCATCAGGCAGTTCGCGACATTCATTGATCTTTATCGGAAATTGCAGCCTAATTGTATCAATATTATTTGCCTCAAATCTTCTTTTTTTATTTTAATATGATGAGAAAATTAGAAAGAAAATTAAATGTCTTAAAATATCGATTAATATATCGATAAATAGAATTGGTAGAGGAAGGGAATTGTAGAATGCAATTCTTAAATTTTTTATATCATATATGAATGAGTAAAGAGGCACAGCAATTAGAAGAAACAGAAAGAATTCAACAATTTTAAAACTAATCCTTGTTCCAGACAATTAAATATTCAATTTCGAAATAAATAAAATCTATCCTTATTACACATTTATAAATATTATAATATTTAATATAAAATAATATATAAGATTTAATATAAAATAAAATTTATTCATTCTTTTTAATACATCTTTTTAATACATTTCATAATACAATATTAGTTGTCTGGAGATATTGATGTCGCACAATCAGTTACACTTGTAATAACAAAATTACCTTTTTAATCAATCAGCCGCACGATGTGGTCTTGATTAAACAGTTTACAATCTCAATTTCCGCGAGTAAAATTGTCACGCGATCAAACATCGTTATCATTATCATCGTGATGATTTCATTAATGACAACATCGAAGCGCGTCCATTTCAGATATTGATAGTCAAATATTCGCATAAAAATCAATCAGTTGGATCATCATTCTTACTAGATGAAGAAAATTAAATTAATCCTTGTATTGCGAATGACTTATTAAAATGTATAGTTATTTATTATCCACGCAACGTATAATTAATATAATGCATTCACGACGATAATATTTCAAAATATATTATCAACTTGTTTCGAGATGTAATTCAAGCAAGAAGAAATTGAACATGTTAGATAATTAGCGACACGTGGCATATATAAAACATTTATTCGTGATATCATCTGCTTGATATATGCGATAATTTTATTCACAAATGCAACACAAATCACGGAATTATGTACTCGAAGAATTTTATATCGTGAGACTGTTTCATAATATCTCGCGCAGAAGAAAAAATTTTAAAAATTTAGATACATAAATAAAATAAATCAACAACAGGATTGATTCTCTGAAAGAATTAATTCATTAATAAGAAAGAATCATTGATAGGGAATCTCTAAAGTAATATAAAATATTGTGATAAATGTGTGTGTTTCTATGAGAAATGATTCAGTAAATATGCTTTATGAGAAATGATTCAATAAATATGCCGCTTTGATACATTGAAAATTATGTGATTTTGAAAGTATCAATTTTCTCTAAAATTAGGCAACTATATATTATTAATTTAATATCCTTGCATACTATCATTAAGCTTTGAATCTTCTCAAATAATAAATTTATGGAATTCTGATATTATTCCACGTGATCTGCTAAACTTGCGATTAGATTAATATGACGATTCTTTAACAGTGATCCTCTACAGGAAGAGGTCAATTACCTTTCTTTGGCACATCGCTGGATGATTCATATTTTGATTTTCGCCGTGATTAGCCTACAGCAGTTCTTCAGAACATCTAATCAAAAGAAAAGAGAAAGATAGTGGCTCTCACCACGGTATAATTACGTAATTTACATTATTTGCGTCCTGAAATACAATTGTCGTCGTCGTCGTCGTCGTCGTCACCATCGTCGCCGTCGCCGTCGTTGTTGTCGGCGGCGCGAGCCTTATCATTCTCAAAGAAGAATGGCTACATATTTGCGGCAAAGAGTTTCATACAGCCCTCAGTAGGAAGATGATAGAGGGCCAGGTGCATCAACATCCGGTACGAGTGCCGCCCGACAAGTCACAACCGTCCCAGACTGCTAATACCGGCATCAAGTTCGAAAAGTATGTTGAAAAATATTGTGCAGAAAATATCCCGTGCTCTTCACGTATCTCTAATGAGAATTAAGAGTTTCGAATCAAAATTTCGTGTAAAATGCTACGATACGCATGGACGATTAAGAAATGGGTGACGGTGTTCGACGGAATCACGCATGAAATCACACGATAGAATTAATTGTGGATTTACGCACTTATGCATTTAACATGCGCCAGTAATTAATCGCATTCATTCATTCATCATTTAATTACATCATTTAATTCAGACTTTGGTTTTTATCTTTTCATCATCCGAACTGTATGTACTTATACTATTATCATGCAGTCTTAATCCTTCAACTACGAAATAATTTGGCGCGATAATTATCGCATCAAATCAATAAATAAAAATTACAACTAATATATGATTTTTAAAAATAAAATAATATTATTAAGTTATGATAAATAGTTGCGATAAAATTTCTATCAAAAACTGTTTTAGATTTGTCAATTTTCTATTTAATTGTCTTTATTTGTGACTCGAAATCAGAAAGACGAGTGTTCTGCATCAATCACAATGTAATATTTATTATTCTATTACTAAATCGTAGAATCACATTTGTCGATTTCGTTCGAATTGTGATTTAAAGTAATACTTCAAAAGTATTACTTTAAATCACAATATTCCGATTCTATCTCTTGAACGAAGGACTAATAAATATTCTCAACATTGACATATATTCGACATCAACGTAACGGAAATTTGTTTTTCTGTCGACAGTGAGCAATGTAAGGAGCCCTTGCTTCCGGAGAAACAGAACTCCCACAAGATGACACCAACCGATGGCCGTTCACGAACCACCTCCGAATCAAAAGACACCAATACTAATGGACAGGCGACTACAGCGAATTCTACTATTAGTGGACACAACACCGATGATTGTTTCGAGGTGACCATCTTCGACGAGGGCACCGATAGCGGTCGGTTACCGGATGTTGTTGCCGAAAGTAAAATCTATGGTGCGGCTGATGAGAATGAACCACTCGAGTCATACTTGGCGATTACCATCCAGGTCTTCATACCTTTTCTTATTGCCGGCCTGGGCATGGTAGGCGCCGGATTAGTTCTCGATCTAGTCCAAGTACGTACAGAATTCACATATCTATCATGCGGATTTTTTTTCTCTTCCTTTCTTCTATCCCCTCTCTACCAAAAAATATTTTACGAGACACGATGTTAATAACATCCATAATATTTTTATTAAACTAATCAATTTTTTTTCTTCTTTTTACTTTTGGAATAGATTAAATATCTTAGAATAGGAATGTAAAATATTTAGGAATATAAATTTACGTAATCTTAAAATTAGAAATCTTGGCAAAATCTTTAGATCCATTAAATCTTTAGATCCATTTATATATTTTATCTATTTATTCATTAGTCTTTCTCTTCTATCTAAAAAGAAATCTATTTCAAATTAGCTTAATTTTAATTTTACATTATTAATACATTTTTATTTCGTTTGCTTACAGCACTGGGTAGTCTTCGAAAAAGTCAACGAGCTCATGATTCTCGTACCAGCACTTTTAGGATTGAAGGGTAATTTAGAAATGACTCTAGCATCACGTCTTTCTACTCAAGCGAATCTCGGACATATGGATTTGCCGAAAGAGCAATGGCATATGATCGTTGGGAATCTCGTCTTAATACAAGTAAGAATAATTAGTAATTCAATCACAAATTTAAGAATAATTATGTAATGATGTAATTCTGTAATTGCAATAATTTCGCTGACTATTCGTTGCTAACTAATTCTTGGATATTAACAACTGGCAATCTTAATTACTATTAATACATGCAAATTAAATACAAAATATCTGTCAAATAGATTTGCATCCTTATAAGGTATACTCCAATGTATAATGCTTAATGTAACGAGATATAGTTCATCAATCCTTTCACGTTTAGGTTCAGACTTTACTTTAGTGAAACTGGTTTTAACTAGATGTTCTATAATTAAACGCCGATATTTACCATTCGTCATTTGAAAAAGTCATAACTTAATTCCATCGAATACATTGCAAAATACATATTGGTTTAATTCGATGCCATGTATTTTTCCCTTAAAATTTCTACTGCTTCGTTTTAATCGATGTTTGGGTTCTTTGATAGATCTCAAACTTCTTATTTAACAATTATGCGACAAAGCGCGCGGAAAAATTTTGCGCTATTAATCATCCGATGCCTTATCATCTAGTATCGTAAATACATTCGCACATGTACGCTTTACGTATTTTTTAGATTCAAGTTCAATCTCGCGAATTTCCATTAGTAAATCAATGGCATGAAGTTCTTGTAACTTTACTAATTAATAATAAATTAAATTCGCACATTTTAACAAATCGCTGCTATTTGTCAATTAACGAAACGATTCGTCATTGCTTATGCATCCTGGACATCGTAAATTGCCAGAGGATACTATGATGTGATGCGATAATTTGACCTATGATTAACAGTTAATTGTTAAATGAGCCGTCAACACGATTTTGAGAAAATAAGCAATGTTTTTCCTAGCCGTTCGATTTAGCAAATTGAATTATGCTCTCCGGCTGTCTTATCACATTGGCGCCACGATTTTATTTGGCCTTCGAGAAGTCGACTGTTTGCCGTATGATCTTTCGTGCATGACACATAGCTGGTTACTTCATAAAACATCATGCTTTAAACAATATGTGTGTTTCCCTATCGTGAATCTATATCTACATAAGATAAGTTAATATACATTTCTGTATAAAATTTCTGTATAAAATTAGAAAATTCTTCCTATAGAAAATATAAAAAAATCATACTATATCAAATTTTACAGTTTTCTTTAACATATCTCACTATTTTTTAATTTTTTCCACAGCATTCTAAATATATATCTATCTTATAAATTAAATATTATTAAATTTTATTATGACTTGTCAAAGATCTTGCATTTTCAATTAGAATGCCATTCACGCTTCTCCATTAAAACGAATATTAGAAAAAGAAATAGAAGAGAATCTCTCTGTTTCAACGCAAGTTTTTGTTGGTATAGATCTACTGCTTTATAAAAATAAAATTTTCCTCAATTTTATAGTGTCAAGCAATAGTGGTGGGCTTCCTGGGTTCCGTGGTGGCGATCGTGATGGGTGCCTTTCGCAACGGCACGGTCTCCCTGGATCACGCCTATCTGCTATGTGCCAGCAGTCTGGTCACTGCATCCCTTGCTTCCTTTGTTTTGGGCCTTATTACTGCGGGTGTAATCGTCTTCTCCCGTCATTGCCATATCAATCCGGACAATGTGGCCACGCCGATAGCCGCCAGTCTCGGTGATATCACCTCCTTGGCACTTCTCTCTTGGATTGCCACCGTATTGTACGAAAGTATAGATAAACAAGACTGGGTAGCGCCCCTCGTCATAGCTTGCTACGTCCTTGTAACACCGCTCTGGGTATGGATTGCCAAGAAAAATAAATACACTAACGACGTGCTCTATTTTGGTTGGACGCCAGTTATGGTGGCTATGTTAATCAGCAGGTAAAAATAAAGAAATTATTGTTCATTCTTGGAGTTTGCTAATGGATAATATGTTATCTAGCAAAGGCCTACTGCCACTTGTATCATATTTCAAGTAAAGCTCAGTCTAACACAGAAATTTTCTACACAGTTGTGGCGGTCTCATATTGGAGTTCATGGTGTCGCGTTTTGAAAATCTGACGGTATTTCAACCGGTTATCAATGGTGTCGGCGGGAATCTGGTGGCCGTTCAAGCCAGCAGAATATCAACGGCACTTCATAAACAAGCCGAACTTGGCACGCTTCTAATTCCACCAGGACATACGCATCCTGTCATATTTATTACTCCTATCGCTAATTTTTTCGGGAAAGGTATCTCTTCATTCTTCGATAAATAATCCAAAAACATTTTTTTTCCAGAATATTTCTTCATCGTTATTTCTTTTCCTCAGGTATGCACGCCAGAACGACGAGAGTCTTGATGGCGATGGTGATACCGGGCCACATCATCTTCATTTATCTGATTAATTATATGAAAGATGGCAATACGTCGATGACGCCGCTCTTTGTCTTCGTTTACCTTTGCGCGGCGATGTTGCAGGTCGCGGCACTTCTCTATATCGCCTATATAATGATTCACTGGATGTGGAAGCGAAAAATCGATCCCGATAACTCGGCGATCCCATATCTAACCGCGATGGGTGATTTGCTCGGGATCAGTCTGCTTGCGATTGCCTTTCAATTTCTGTACCTGGTCGGAGATCAAGATTTCGACGCGCCCTGAACGTAGTAAGACTAATTTTTGTGTGGCTATGAATGCAGTTAACAACGATCATGGTAATTAGCATGTTAATTATCATTTGTACGCATAATTAGAAAATTTATCGAAAAATTATTATATTTTTAAGAATTTATAAATATATTAATCGCATTATGTGTAATGATCTAATTATATCAAAGATATCAATCAAGAAAAAATTACATTATTTACATATATAAAATTTTCTCTAACTTATTTTTAAATTTTCAGATATACTGAGTTTTAAAATTCACTGCCAATAGAAATCTATAAATCACGTTACGTATATATTATAGATTTCAAATACTAGATAGTCAATTTCAAAACACAATTATAATATCTGAGAAACATAAATTGTTTAAGTGCCTCGATTTATATCAGTAAAATAATTTATGGATACTCGAATGAAATATATTGCATTTTTTTCAGGAAGTCATAAATTGTATAATGTTTTCCGGCGGGCACAAATTAGAACTGTCGGATCGAAAGGGCATTCCTACGAGGCTGTGGTCGTCTGAAAGTATATTCCACCGAACGCTATCTTCGATTTGCCAGTCCGCCGATGAGTTTTCAGAAGAATGGACGGTCGCAATATTTATTGACAAAATATTAACAATTCGTCACTTTTTTATCTTGCCTTTTGTCAAAAAATTGAGATTAATCACCAAATATATGAAGATTCCCTCTTCATATTTTGCGAAAACTTATTCATCGAATTATTTTCGACAGAATCTTGTCCGATATCTTAAAATATTTGATAACTAATAAATATTCTATATATGTAAAATAAAAATAACGGATTGTTAATATCTTGTCAAACCGAGCGGACATACTCAGGTTTTAATTAGGTACTAATATATCAGAAGATAACAAAGGTTGGTATGCCAGATTATAGCTACTAATATATTAAAAAATAACACGAGATAGATAGTGGCAAATTAATTCGTCGAATATAAAAATTGAAAAACGATTGAATTTTTGCAAATAACGTTATCTTCAAAGTTTAAGCCTAAAATTCAAGAATTAATTTTTTCAAAAATGGCCGATAATATAAAGATAAATATTAAATTAATTATATTATCAAATGATAACAATAATTTTGCGAACGAATTTTTCAGTAATATATATTTGGCGAAATATTTCCCAAGCGTAATTCAAAGCCTAAGACTTTGATCCTAATTCCAGAACTTAGGTATATTTTGAAATTCAAGGACACAAAATTCTCGTGGACTATAAGGAAAAAAATTAAAGCAAAGATTTTCATATTTTCTGAATATGGAGTGGGGGAATAGAGTCTACAAAAATATATATTAAATTGCAATCGCGAAAATTGCACTAAAAATTTAATATACAATTCTGTAGACTGTCATTCATTTTTTTGAGCTCAGCGAGAATTCTGGTTCTTCCATTAGGCACACGTAAATAAAAAAAAATACTTGTAATCATATTACCAATTGCGCATGTGTCTTCGAATAGTTGCCTTCGTATACGACGAAATTTAGATAAGTATTTAGAAATTGCCATGCGATCTATTTTTGGAAGCTTTAGAAGCTCTCGAATTTGCTCGATTCTAAAATATAAGTATACTCTGTATAAACTATCTTAACTTTTGCAGTTAATCAGAACTTAGTCTTCCTTGTGCAGATAAGCAATCCTCATTTTTTTCTAATTTTCGAAATTATTCGTTAAAAATATTCAAAGTGTTTCTTGTGTTTTTATGAAAATAATCGTTTAAAAAATTAAATGCATCAAAAATTGAGTCGATAAGCAAGTCATCATCAAGTTCGAGAGCCAGGAAAATCACACGAAATCTCGTATGACAGAATGATCGATGATGGTTTTGTGCTCAATAGTATTATCACTTGGTCAAGTAAATGTATTTTCAAAATGTATTTTAAATGAATTCAATTTTGCATACATGGATGTACCGTAACTTATATATAAAAAAAGAAAATTGCAAATTTGTAACTTGAAAGAACACAATAATTGAAATTGATGTAAAAACGAATGCGCAGTTGTTAAGAAAATATAATCCAAAATATTTCGATTAATCAAATATCACGATATCATTGCAAATTTTACGAAAAAGGTGCAGAAATGATGATATATGTGTGAATCTTATTATTAGTAAAATTATGCACGATAGAATAGCATCTCTCTTCGAAGAAAGAAGAACGAGTGTATTCAGCAACGTAAAATATACATTTAGTTAATGTCCAGTTGACAATTATCTCACACATCGTGCGAGTAATTTAATTCACACATTGATTACAATACATAGTACAACACATTTCTTTATGTTCAAAGATAAAGAGATTTCATAGCTACTCTTCGGTCAAGATTAATTTCACTCGATACATTTATCAATTTATGTGAGTATTATACTAATATAGTATTGTAAATTACAATATTCTATAAAAAAGGAGAGCGAAAAGAGAAAACGTCGTTATATTTCCGTGTACATATTACTGTGTATAATGTACGTATTTTATATGTACATTACGTATGCTAGGCATCGTGTCGGGGACTAATATTTAGTCTATGTGATAGGAAGAGGGATTTATATCCAAGACTATATCGCCTTTCGGTACATGTTCAGTATTAATATCGCTTTACTATTGCCTAGAATTGCTCTAAAATAAATGCAACTCTAGCAAAGATACTCGATTCCGCCGAAAGGACATGCGCTTCTTTTGACACATGTATTTTGTAGCAAACTGCGTTTAACTGCGATCCAATTATGATAGCACGATGTATTCTTGTATGAGAAAAAAAAGATATAACATGATACATTACAGTTGCGTTTTACACGATTAGCATTAATTCATTTTGTCATTCATAATGTCGAATTATTTCATTCATCTCGACTCGCGATAATTACTCCATAAATTTTATCAATACAAAGGAGATATTGCGAGATTAAGTAAAATGCGAAAATATTTATGCTCGCATATTTGCGAACATAAATTCTCTTAGCCATATACATGTATTTTGTTATGTAATCGAGTACTTTAAACGGCCTTTATTGATCGTCTATTGCTCGTGGCGCCGTAGTGAATGTCATTCGTTTCATTTTATAATGCGAGATATACCCCTTTTCTTTTTTTATATACATCTTATTTCTAACGAGCACAATAATTGTATTATGGAAGGGAACGTGCTAAAAACGCAGACAATAATAATTAATTGCAATTTGAGGACGGATACATAAAGTATTTTGTATGTAAAAAGTTGGAATATAGGATCCCTTGTACAGAGCTGACTTTTACAAATAAAAGTGGAAACGACATATATTTTAAATCATCTTTTATTCTACTCGTGAAGGAAACTGATATTGCAAGGAAGAACGATGCTGCCGGATTATAAATTCTTGTCTCGATGTATCTCAAGAAACATAATCGTCTTTAAGTATTGTCTGTAATCTAAAATATAGCGTTTGATCCTCATATAAACTAGAATGACAAACATACAGACAATATAATAACGAAAATAAAGAAAAAGAGAAATATTTTATATACAATATCGCGTGTTAAATTGTATCTTATAAACAATAGAACTGGATATTTTAACGGAGAAATCGAGCACACACAGTGTACTTCGGAAATATGTTCCTGTCTACATTATATATATGTTGAAATATATTAAAAGAAAAGAAGATAGGCACTCTCTTTGCATCGTAACAATCAATTTCGTAAACACACAATAGCGATATCTATAGTCAATTGCGGCATGAATCACACGAGTTTTATCACGAGTGTGATATAGTGCAATGATATCCGAATGTCTAACTGGAATTATGCTTTTAATTATTAAACACGAAATCATCAAGCAGCATAATATAATTGAGAAATACTTTAATGTAGATCTCATCAAAATGTAAATTTTGTAAAATATGTATAAAGAGAAAAAAAAATAAAATGAGAAAGAAAATGTTCTAGCTTTCTTTTATGCAACGTTGTATATTTATATTTAGTACATATAGCAGAATACTTTAAATATCGAAAGAAATAGATTGTCATGTAAAATATACATTATATTATATATTAAATTTACATTATATCTTGTTTTATTTGATTCTTTGTTTCTTCTAAAAGAGACTTTCTAATATTATGTACATATAAATTATATATAAATTTAATACAAACTCTTAAACGAGATTATAAATAAATACACACACATATTGTGTATATATCACAACTAAAATTAATTATTCATAATTATTTTTAATAATTAATACACATTTACCATTTCTCTTCAACACTTATTGCAACATTGTAATCTTTCAATTTGTTTCTAAATTGTTTCCAATAAATTATATTTTATTCTTAGATTATAAATATTAAAAACTATATATTAGTAACAGTCATTTAATAACTGTTATTAATATCTGTTGTTAATATCATAATTTCTAGATTAATATCACAAAAATATGTATGCATCATCACGATACATAATAATACATTTCCACAAAGCCCTGAGATACTTTTTTATTACAAAGCTATTTATTATGATTATAGCAATTATCCATAAAAGCACATTTGCATAATACATAGGTGTCAATCATATTTGTGATTCAAAAACTCAATTGAAAAAAAAATTAATATATTTGTTTCCCTCGAGTCAACATGCAATATTACTAATATATATGTGTATGTGTATGTATATATATGTATATATATATATATGTATATATATGTATATATATGTATGTATGTATGTATGATGTTGATTTATTACAGATCCTTGAAATACACCTATATTGTGCAAGGTTGGGTTAATAAATAAACAGCTGCAACGTATCTCGTTCTTTTAATGCTATAAAATATAAATAAGCAATAATATAACGGAGTATAAAAATATTAATCGAAATATCGTAATGTATATATCGAAATCCTTTACATCCATCTATTATCAGTTGTTCATGATTTGCATATAAATGTCACAAGATGTCCGCGGATGTGTGATCTTATCAACTATCGATCTCGAATTTAATGTGAAAAGAAATCTTAAATCGATACAATGAATGTATATTACATTACATGTATATTACATATTTATACATAAGAAAATATGATACACATACATACGACAGTAAAGTATGCACAATAATACGAGTTGTAGTCTTACAGCAATAGTCGCACGATGTTCGTAATAAACTGTAAGTGAAACATTGTTATTGTAATTTCGCTGCTTCCTTCACTTTCCAACGAATTAACTCCATGCAAGCGACGGCATCTTCTTTACTGTCATGACCACCAACTAAAATACAAATTATTATTAGATCTTATTATATATATTCTCTCCCTTTTAAACACTTTTCTTTCCTTTTAGATATAAAAGATTGCACCTACTGTCATTTTGTATCAGTTTTCTGAGATATTCAGAACAGAGATTTTTCAATGCCCGTTTTTGTGGATATCCATTTTTATGCGGAAACATAATGCTGGTATCCACAACGGTATCATGAAGTAGCCTCAAAGCTTTAAAATCGCTTTCAAGGCTATGACCCACCAGAATTGTTTTGTCCGAAAACATTGTAAGAAGTGTAGCTTGTACATCTAATATAGTCGTCGTCACGTTTTTCATATCTTCTTCTGTAATCCCTGAGAATCTATCATAACATAAAAAATTAGTTGTCACACATATCAAAATTGATATTTTTAAACAATATATATAAATGTATATTTAATCAATTTTAGATTTTATTATCATTTACCTTGTGTTATAATCAATTATCGGATTTTGTGGTTTGACTAACGTTTCATATATTACGTTACAATCTTCATCAATCACTGTCACTCTTGTCAATTCTAAACCATGTGTAGTATAACACATTTCACAATCAAGTGCGAAAACACCTTGTTCGTCCATAGAAACATCTTTGTTTGTATGGATACAAAATGCAAGAAATTAATATATAGTACACTGCACTTGGATATATAAGAAAAATATAAGAAATTAAAAATATCTTACCTTTTGATAAAGTTCTAACATAACCACGAAGATTTTCATAATCTGTGTAATCCCATACGTGTGTCTTTGCATCACAGCAACCAGTAGCTGATCCATATTGCTGACAACAACTATACTTGCCTTCACCTTTAATTGTAAACTTCCTTCCCCAGTGATATATACAATTTTGTTGCTGTACAGCAAAGCCCTGTTTATCTACCATGTATGCTTGGCCACATCGACTACACATTCTTTCATTAGGCACTTTTGACAAAACAGTTTGGTTCCGCACATTAGTTACATACACCTTTGCTCGCCCCTGTAAAGTGTAGGACATATTTTATTATAGATAAAACGCTATTTTGAAGAGGTTGTAATTGTACAATATATTATTTCTTCTTTTATCATTTCATTCTTAGTTCGAATAAATTGCACTAATTCTTTTATCTATTTTATTATTTAAGATTTTTTTCTTTTTTACCTTTGTACCATCTGGATGCCTACGTGGAAATCCATTATCTCTGAGCTGCTGCTCTGTCATGATCCATCTCTTGAGCATATTGTAGAGTGCAGGTCCTTTAAAATCTACCACACTCTTTTTACTCTTGACTATGCTCCAAGAGCCCTTTGATTTGCCAGCAAGCATGGCTTCGTGAGATACCATACCACAGTTTGATCCAACGGACTTTTCATTCGATTTATTTTGATCGACTTCTTTCCTCAGTCTATGAGCCGCCAGCATACACGAATTTTTATATACAGCGAGCGCCTTACATTTTTCGTGACATGCGAATTCCTCTTTAACGGCGCGTTGCGCTGCATCCTCACTGTTCGTATAAATTTGCACGCATATATCGTGCATCATATTAATATAATACTGTCGAACATTTAAGGGAAACTTCTGAGTAGCGACTTGAAGCGGTTCTGGACGTATTAGTTGAGGTACCTGTATACAAATAGAATTTTAATGAATATGTAATGTATATGGACATTATATTTATATAATTAAATTATATTGGAATACTTAACAGTTTTTAATTAAATACTTACTATTTGCGGAATGTGAGCGACGCGTACACTGCCCTTTGTAGTTTGCGCTATTGTTTTGTTATTTATTTCTTTGTTCTCGCAATTTCCTGCTGTCACTACTACCTTTTTCTTTTCCATTGCAAGAGATTGTGCATATGGAACATGAGCGATTCTAATACGACCTATAATATACATTATAAAACATTAATAAAAAAAATATTTATTCAAAAATAAAATATAAAACTATAATTTAATTGCTATGTTATTTTTAACTTGCCATTCACATTCGATTGGAGATCGCTATTGCTTGTTGATGAGACGGTCTCGATATGCTCTTTATGTAAATTACTTGAAGATTGAACTGCTGACGTAGATGTAACTTGAGTTTTCATATCAGTTGTCGCCCTCTCTGCGGCCTTTCGAGTCGCTGCTTCTCTCATCAAACGCCATCGTTCGTACATTTTCTGTTGTGGTGTTATGAGTTTTTTTGGTGGCTGACTAGGACCTAAGTGTCTAGTGACACTTGTAGCTGCTGAAGGATGTGCGACTCTTTTCTTACCAATTTCTTCCACGTCTTCGGTTTCTTCTTTTAAAGATTTTTTAACTGATACTAATTTTGGATGATCAGAGGCTTGATATTCCTTAAAAATAAATAAATGTAAATATGAAGTTCATCTAATGCACTAAGTAAAAACAATTAAATTACATTTTTTATTAATATAGAATTTTTTATTTTTATCATATAAATTTTATTTTTATTTTAATTAATTAAAATGCAAATTCAAAATACTACAAAAAATAATAAAAAAAAGATGAATGTGTTGAACAGATTGCATATTGAATAGATTCTGAAGGAGAGATTATTTTTAATATCATAAATATATAAATATATAATATACAGGGTGAATCATAATGGTTGTATCAACCTTTTACCATACACGAATGCAAAAGATATCTCTTTTTACGCGGCAGATAAATGTTTCACAATAATAAGAAATCGCGTTATTAGAAAAAAAAATGCGATGTAGAAAGAAAAATATGTACATAAAAGAGTTAAATATATTAGAAAAGTATGCATAGAATATGTATATTATTTGATTCACAGTATTTAACTCGCTTGTACATTACTGCAGACACGGTCGATCCAAGCAGCTGTCATCTAGGAATCATTCAATTGATTACAATTGCAGACGCTAATTGATCTCTATTGGTAAAAGGTTGGTACAACCGTTATGATTCACTCTGTATAAGTGTAATATGTAAATATTTATATAAAAATTTACCTGAAATATTCTTAGGCATTCTTCTTGTACATCATGATCAGAATCTGATAATTCTAAAATTTCTTCGTCCATGTTTTCCAAATTTTCCCCGTCCATAAAAGAATTAATACTATCTGCAGAACTATCAGATGAATTCCTTTCGCTACTATTTTCTTTATGTTTGCTAGATTTTTTAGAAGAATCATTATATCTTCGACTCGATTCCAAATGATGCTTTCTATCGCTTCTGCTAGATGTATGTTTATTCGATATAGAATTCGATGAATTTGTTCTTGATTTATGTTTATCATGTCGGCTAGATTTATGATTGTTTCGATCTCTCTTTGGAGAAGTATGCCTATGTCTTCGCGAATCGGAATGTTCTCTACTTCGATGCGAAGAGTCTTTATTATCACGATTGGTTTTTTTCTTATCTTTATCTTTACTAGAGGAAGGACGATGCCTATCCCTGGAATCTGATTCATGTCGAGATTTTTCTTTGTTTCTCCTCCTAGAACTATGATGGTCCTCTCTATCTCTTTTCTTGCTTTTACTATGACTTCCGTGTCTTTCTTTCTCCTTATCAGTACTCTCTTTTGTACTTTCCTCTTTTCTCTGTGATAATTTACTTGTGTCAGTTTTATGTTTAGACCTATCACTACTTTTTGTATCACCCGTTTTAATATCATAGTGATTATTATGAATTTTTTTATCTTTATTGCTTGTTTGTTTATCTATAGTTTGTTTATCTATATCAGCTCTTGCATGTTGCAAATTTTCCTTCTCTTTTTCATTCACATCCTCTATTTGCTCAGCTTTTTTAATGTTTGCATTATATTCATTATTAGATATGTCTTCTACAGATTCATCATCAGAAAATTTAGGTTCAATATCTAAAGAATAATCTTGAGAGTCCTCACTGGCTGATGTTTTAGCTTGTTCTAATGTATTAGAAGCAGTGTGATCAGCAGTAAGAAGCTCATCTATCATATCAAATTCTGACTCAAATTGATTCAAAGTAGCATGATTTAATTGTTGAACCGTTTTTAATGGCGCCTTAACATTTTTAGGAACATATTCCTCCCGCCTTTTCTTAGATTTTGGATGGTATATTTCCTTAAATTTAGACTGATAATCATTTGAGTTGCTGTCATCATACGAATTTGATGAGGATGAATCTGATTTAATTGTTGGTATATAACTCTGTACAGTATCTTGATCGATTGAATTGACTATTGCAGTAGGTTTATATGTAATTTCAGATGATTGAGAGCTGCTAGATTCCTGTTCCTGAATATTTAACCATGGTTTAATCCTATCTGGCGAGAATTTACGCTTCACAGCCACTCTACTTTCCCTGGTTGGCATATACGAAACCACAGGTATGTGTCGCTTTTTCAATTCCGCTATCGGGGTTGGATTATAAACACATGCAACTGGCTTTGTAATGGGCGTGGGAATTGCAATGTGTTTTCCTACTATATTTGATGTAGCACTGCATAAAGGAGCAGCAGAACCAGAGCCTAGGGTTGGTTTGAGTCCTTCCACTACTTGAGAGACAATGTTCTGTGAAACTTTCTCTGTATCTGTGACTTCCTGATCCGCAAGTACCTTTTTTACAGCTTCTGTTACTAAATGTTGTAGCATATCAGGATTCGAAGCTATGACATCGGCAGATTTGTCCTCCTGTGCTTGCCCCGCCGCCTGGGCCTCCACCACCCCAGCCATTCCTGCTGTGCTTCCCGCATCTTCTATATAAATTACACATTAGCTTTTATTCATTTACAATTATTATTTGATAAAACAATTTATAATTCATCAAAATATTAGTATCTTTAATTTTTTGTACAATAAGTTTATATATATTTAACAAATTTTCATTATTAAGAATCAGATTTTAAATTTCCAAGTATATAAAATTTGACTCTCAGATATATAAAACAATATATAAAATGTAAAAATGTAAAAATATAATATTGAATAGAGATATGTTTTTATTAAAACATGATACGTCACATGATATACATGATGTACATGTACATGATGTACAATGTACATAACATGATGCGTCAGAGAAAACATCAGTTTCTCAATCATGTTTGTTAATACTATAGACAAAGGAAATGGACAAAGGATCTATCAACCCAACCGAGATCTTAACAATTACAATTCGACAGCTTTCTACGTTGAACAATTTCATTCAATTAGGACAAAAAACAACTTGCGGAATATGTTTTACAAACAAATTAAATAGCTTAAGCTACGTCGCGTGCGCTGAAGAGGATCCTGAAGTCGCACGTTCTTACCTCGTCTAGCATGTTTGAAATGGCAATAGGGTCGATCGCACGATCCGCTGTCATAAAACGGGCAATTTATCGTTTTAAAATAACCGGTGGAGGGCAACATAACTGGTTCATCGCATTCCGCGCTTCGGAGAGGCCATTCCTCGCGGATGCGTGTGTGTCGTCGCCCTTGCGTTACGTGCGCCGCGTTTACGAGATTATCGCACGCTAGTCGAATCGTCGTGCAGTGTCAACGATTCAAGACATGACATACTCGTCAATCGTCGTCGTGCGTCAGAAGAAGAGATCGATGCGACGAATGAATGAATCCGGCAATTTCGTTCGAGTCTAAAGTTAATATAAGAGGTTACGTTACGCCGTCGTTCGGCTCGCAAATGCGACACCTGACACCATCGCGCGACGCACGCATCAGCGCCCTGCACGTGCGCCCCTTTAAACGATGTCCCGGCATACGAGCGGCATATCCGACAATATGCGTTTAGGCGCATTCGATACTTGATTTTTATACTTATAATCTGTATTCGAATATTGTGATAAATCTAGAGTTATACCGCTGACATTGTTGCGTCAAATTAAGACAGATATAGCGTAATCATATTTATTAAAATTTTGAATAAAAAAATAAAAAACGCTAAAGGATACAATCAAATATATTTTTAATAAACTTTATTTAATATAATGGTAGAATCTTTACGTGATCTTCAATACAAAAAATGAAATGAAATGTATGGAAATTGATAAATGATAAAATAATATAGATTAGAAAAATAAAAAAAATTATTTTAACATTAGAAAAATATCAGGGCGAAAAATTTCTCGTCTACGTCTCTTCAGGGGGGTAAAGAGGGTTTTTATAGAATTTCTCAAAAATGAGAATCTATATATCTTGGTAAATACACCAAGTAAAATATATGCATATGCCTTGTTCTCGTTTGTTCCATTTTCGCGTACATTCATTTTCGTACATTTTTGTTTACAATTAAAGTATTTTTAGGCATTATCATCCTATGGCATTATCACGTTATGGTTCGGATACGCCAGTTTTCTTATCTTGTTGTTTGATACATAACGAGCATAATTTCTTTCAATTTTAGTTTATATGTAATAAACCTTGTTTATTGGTGTGTTTAAATATAAATATACATACATACGTATGTACATACATACACACATACACGTACATATATACATATACAGGATATCCCAGTTATCTTCCGTCATCTTTCAAAGACAGATTCCTGGGATCATTTAAAGACGATTTTTCCTCAACGAAAATGTCGAGACACTAATTTTCGAATTATAAGTGATTGGAAATAAGAGGTTTTTCATAAACTAAGCTTTGTAGAAATAAAATATTAACAAAACCACATTCTTTGATTAATTTTAAATAGAGTTTACTTTAGTTGAGTTTTAATTTAAGACTTAATTGCAAACATATATGATGACAAAAATCGGAAATATGCAAAAAACATTTATATAGTTTTGAAATAAATTATCTTCAAAATATTTGTATTTGTACATAAGATTAAATTCGACATCCATAAAAACATAAATCCATATCTATGTATACATAAATCTTATATCAAGTATCTACATATCTTATTTTTCGGAACATATTATACGAAAAGTGTAAAAGGCCATAGCAGACAGTTGAGTTCTGTCTGTTGAACAGTTTAATTATAAAACTGCGAAGTAATAAAATTTTCTGGATATTTCGGTAAGATCATCATATCTATATATAATATTTTTCTAAATAAGTCGAATTGGTTCAATATACATGAATTTTATATTTAATAAATTCTAAATGTTTTATAAATTCTTACTTTATAAATTCTTTCTGATTATATATCTTTGTTTGTAAATTGTGAAAGTAAATCATTTAATATTGCAAATTATATTAAATAATATATTTAAAAATAATATATTTAAAAAAATATATGGTATATTAAAAATTTTCCATAAAAATTAAAAGATTTTAAGAAGAATGTAATATAATGATGTTTGATGTTTGTTTTTTTTATAGAAATAAATCCTATAAACATAATTTTATAGGATTTTTATAGGAATAAATAACCTATAAACATAATTTTATAGAATTTTTCTAGGAATAAGTATAGAGAGAGATTAAGTTAAAAAAAATTATTATTGCTGCATAGTAATTATAATTAATATGTTTAATAAGTATTCTTGACACATTATTTTATATTTTTAAGCGTAATTGAAATTTTTATAAATTGAAATTTTAATAAATTTAATCTTTAATATTCTCATAAGATCTTTGCGTAATTATATAAAACTCATGCATATACATATTTTTACATACAATCAGATAGCCAAGCTTGATATGACATATTCAACAAACAAATATATCGCATGTACAGGGTGGCCCATTTTAATTTCCTCAGCCAAATATTTCGGAAAATAATGAAAAATCAAAAAAATGTTTCAGACAAAAGTTGTATGGTTACTCAATAAAAAATATTTTATTATAGTGTTTTGGAAAGCTCTCGAGATAAGCTATAAGAATATGTAATGAGAAAATGTAGGTTCTATTTAAGAAATTGAAGGTGACCTTCATGTGACCTTCAAATAACTCTTCAAGGTCAAACCAATGGTACCATCTTATGTCCCCCTAGAAACCATACAACTTTTGTCTGAAACATTTTTTTGATTTTTCATTATTTTCCGAAATATTTGGCTGGGGAAATTAAAATGGGGCACCCTGTATTATTATATATTTGCAGTATACTTGCTGACATCGAGATAGAATACGTTACGAATGCAGCTATATGTCTGCTTCTATATGCAAATAATTAACGAAGCAAATGGTCTGCAATATTGATATATTACGTTGTCTACAACATGTCAGCAATATGTTGACACGTTGCAATTAATTTGTTGTTATTAGCACATGAATTCATGTGAGTTCCACGTAACAGATATAATGCTGTCTCACCTTGTCTCTAGTTTCTTAAAATTAGTTGCTTCAATAATTATTGGCAATATGACAGCAACCTCATTGCATTTGGCTATCTGGGCACATACACATATAAATACAAATAATATTTTTCATTTAATTTATTCGACAAATTGATAATTATATTACATTTATATAAAAATTGTTAATAATTTTTTGACAAATTAAAGATTCATGCAAGGAAATTGGGGAATGTACATGGATCAACCTATACTGCCACATATCTTAACTAACATGGCTTATTTGACCCTTTGTTTGGCATCGCTGGTAATATTTATCGGTCTGTTTTACATATACGCCAAATACAAGCTATCTTACTGGAGCAGACGTGGTGTCAAAACTCCTCCAATGAATTTATTTTTCGGCAATTTTAAAGACTGTATTACTTTAAAGAAGGCACCGGGTGAGGTGCTACGCGAGATTTACAATAGTGCTGATCCGGATGACCCTTACATCGGCTTTTATATCTTCCACAAGCCTATGCTGCTTCTGCGAAACCACGATCTGATCAAACAGATGCTGATTACAGACTTTGATGTCTTCCCGAATCGACGTTTCGGTGCATGTAATCAGAGAGATCCGATAGGCCTGGACAGTATTTTATCTATGAAACAGCCTAGATGGAGATATCTGAGAAGCAAATTGAGTTCACCCTTGACGGGACAGAAGTTGAAGAATATGTTACCACTGATGGAGGAATGTGGGAAGCCTATGTTGAAATTCATCGAGAAATTACAAGAGGACACGTTTGGCCACCATAAATGCGAAATAAAAGATTTCAGCAGTTGTTACACCAATGATGTCTTAGCTTCTATCGCGTTCGGCATCAATACAAATTCATTTGATGAAGAGGAGAATGCTTTCTGGAAAAACGGTAGGATATTGTTGTACTTTTGTCTGGCATGTAGAAAATAATGATCAAAGAATCACTTGCAAACATCTGACAGATATTTATCATGTCTTATTATTTATCATTTGCATAAGAAATCAATGGTTCTTTATTCATCAATACAAAAATAGTACAAAAATAAATAAAATCAAAGCAACGCGAAAGCAAAAATAGATATAGATTATCGATAAATTAGATAGATTAATCGAAAAAATTTAATTTAAATATAGTCGAGAGATTTAGATTAGTCAAAAGAGTTTATTTATGTCGCATATTATCACAGTTATCACGAATAAATTTATGTCGCATATTATCACATTTGACTCACATGTACAAAAGTTTTATATAACTAATAATTCACACGTTTTACGAAATAACAATCTATTATAATTATCATATTCATTACCTTTTTTTCATAGAGATTAGTAATTATTAATATAATAGATTGCAGTAATCTATATAAGACATGTGATAAAATAATAACAAAATTGTCTTATTTCATTAATGTAAAATTATGCATATATATGTGTAGAGAAATTAAAACATATTATTTAATATTTGCAGGTTCAAAGGTCTTCAGGGGCTTTATGAGTGGCATAACGTTTATTATTCTCTTCTTCATTCCTGCATGGGGTCCCTTAGTCAAGCCTTTTATTCAAGGACCCGCAAATTATTTTCGCGAAGTATTTTGGGATTCTATGAACACTAGAGAAAAAATAGGATTTAAAAGAGGAGACGTTATAGATTCTTTATTATCGCTTAAGAATGGAGAACAAAATCCTATTTACAGTAAGGATCGTTCGAATCGTAAAATTTAAATAATATACAATTCTTTTTTCATATATATAATAACAATAACACACATGCACGCACACATATATGTATATGTATGTATATATGTATATCCATATATTTTATAAATTCTGAAAAAAAATAATAAATGCATTAATATTAATATAATAATATTAATCTATATTTATCTATAGAATTTGAAGGCGATAATTTGGTGGCGCAGTCGAGCAGTTTGTATATTGCTGGAATTGACACATCTTCGACTACAATCGCTTTCGCTCTACACAATTTGTCGCGTAATCCGGAGCATCAAACTACTTTATATAATGAGATACAAACACATGTGTTAGGGAAAAAATTGACCATAGATTTAATTAATGAAATGTCTTTCTTAGATTGTGTCGTAAATGAATCACTGAGGCTACATCCTCCTCTACCTGTTATCGATAGAATAGCTACAAGAGATTACAAGGTGATGCTGCATAATATTATAAATAACTGAATTATATATATTATCATTTCCCTAACAATTATATATATTTTTACATTCACAGCTTCCAGGTTTTGAGTTAATAATCGAGAAGGATGTTTCAGTATACGTCTCTGTAAATGCGATAAATCAAGATTCTAAGTATTTTCTTAATCCGCATGATTTTATACCATCAAGAATAAAGACAGAACAGAAGAAATTTTGTGACTCTTTGGCATTTGGTATCGGACCACGAACGTGTGTAGGTCAGTTATATAAAATCTGAAAAAATATGTTGCGTGATTAATAATAGATGTAATTTGTATAATACTTCTTTCTTTCTTTATACAAACAGACATATAATTTATATAATTATATCTGTCTTAAATTTTCAGGACAGAGATTTGGTATATTACTTGTAAAAGTAGCGTTAATTATGATTCTTTCGAATTACATCGTTTGCTACGACAAGAATGAAAAACCTATTTTAAAAGATAAAAACGAAATTCACGTATTCGCATATGCAGCTGACGGCCTATATTTGCAATTCAAGAAACGTCAACAATAATGTGTGCAATTCTTTCTTTCTGTTTTTCTCTCTCTTCAGCAAATATATAGATATATTTTTATATGAGTCTATTTCTAGTGGACACAACAAGATTTATAATTTGTAGAAATATATATATTGTAGAAATATAGTATTTGTAGAAAACTACCCCTCTTTATATTTTTCTAAATTTCTTAATTAATACTATTTTTTATCAAAGTTACTAAAAAATTTTAATTTATGTTGTTTATATTTATTTATTTCTAAGGTAAGTATTTTTTATTAAAGACAATTAAAAATACTTACAAGGAGAACACCAGAATTGGCCCCCTCCGATTTGGCTGAATTTTATATATATTATAGTTCAACCCTCCCACTAAATCGTGGTAAAAGGATACGATGCGCCTCTCAAGCATTCGCGAGAAAAACGCGTTCAAAGATTTCTATGTTGGTAATGTACCGAACGGTTAGTGTTGTTTGACGAGCAGCGGCGTGGTGTGTATCCTTTTACCATGATTTAGTGGGAGGGCTGAACTATAATATATATAAAATTCAGCCAAATCGGAGGGGGCCAATTCTGGTGTTCTCCTTGTTAGAAACAAATAAATATAAGCAACATAAATTAATAAATATTCTAGTAACTTAACTTTTATTAATAACTTTTATTAATTTAATATTGTGAGAGAGAGAGAGAAAGATTTATATATATAACAATTTATATATATAAATTTTATTAACTTCAACTTTACATTAGTCAAGAAGCGGGACTTGGTTTACAATATTTTCTTGTCTTCATTCATACATACATACATACATACTTCTCTTTCTCACTTTACTCTATCTCGTACACTTATATATGTATCCTACAGTCTAATTACCTTATGTAATCACAGTCTATATTCCAGACTTTTTTAATAAAAAAAAACTGTAACTTTAAACTACAATATTTTCTTATCTTCATTCATATATACTTCACTTCCTCATTTACTTTCTATCTTGTATACTTATATATGTATCCTACAGTCTAATTATCTTATCTAATCACTTATATGCTTATATGCTAGACTTTGTCAACAAAAAGACTTTAACTTTATGCTTTAACTTTCTACTATTCTTCTAACTATAACTTTCTAAAATTCCTTTAAACTTTAAGCTTTAAACTTTAAACTTTAAATGTTAAACTTTAACTTTTTCCTCCTCCAAAATATACTTAATTCTTTTTTCCTTTTTTCTTTTTCTCCTTCATTTTCTTTCCCTTTTCTTTCCAGAATTTCCCTTTTTACATCATCTAAAATTTCATTCCTTATTCTCTTTACCCTACTCTTCTCCGTAATTCTTAATTTATCAAACCACCCTTTTGTTATTTCACACTCTCTAACAAAATGATTCAAATTATCCCTCCCCTTATCACAGAATACACATTTCCTATACTTTTCTTCTAGCCCATATTTATTCTCCTCCTCCATGTTTCCACATTCTTGCTAAAACTATAATACCTTTACTTAATATCCCGTTTATCTACAAAATCTTTTTTCAAATATTTTGGTACTCTCCCTTTCGCAACTATCTCACCATATTCTTTAATGTATTTCGCTTCTCTAATTCTACCATTCTCTATTTGCCTTTGTACATCTCTTTCTCTTTCTGTAATAATCCTTTTAAAATTACCTTCCTCTTCTATTTTACCTTCTACTGCTAAAATACCCCAATCATTCCTATTATAATATCTTTCTCTCTCTTTACTATACTGATTTACCCAATTATTCCTTTTTTTCTCTTCCCAACATATTCTTACCCATCTATATTCCTCCATTTTTTTTATCTTTTCTTCATATCTTCTTGCTCTTAGATCCCACCTTATTTTTAATTTATCAATCCCTAATTTCCTTGTTACTATGTACTTTTGTGTGCAAAAATCTAATTTAAATAGCTATCTCACATAATCCAGCATAACTTTTCCAATTCTTTTTTCTCTTCCTTTACCCCATATCTCTATCCCGTATGTCATTACACTTTCTATTAAATAACTAAACAGTCTCCATCTCCTACTAAAATCCTTTTTACAAATTCTTTCTCCTAATCCCCAGATCTTGTTTGCTGCTAATCTACATTTCCTCGCTAATTCTTTAATATGCTCTTTATATCTCCCGTTCCTATTGAAAGTAAATCCTAAATACTTGAAGTTCTGCACGTCCTCTATCATCTCTTTACCCCATTTCCATTTTTCCATCTTTTCTTTCTTTTTCCTATTAAATACCAAAATCTTTGTTTTTTCCGCATTAAATTTTAAATCTCTGTCTTTACAGAAAATAGCCATCATTTCTAATAACGCTTCTCTATTTTTTGCTAACAAAACCATATCATAACGATTTATATAAATTTTAATCATAAACACATTTTATATATATTTTATATATGTTTTATATATGTTATTTGCGAAATAAATATATATTTATGTCACAATTTGTAACATAAATTTGTTGAAAATAATTTGTAATTGTTCTTAAGATGAGCATATGTTATACCCAGTGAGAAATGTTGGTCGAATCTACATCAATTCGATGTCGAATTGATGTCGATTCGATCAACATTTCTCACTGGATAATAGATAAATTTACTTAGAAAATTATTTTTTTAAAAAAAGTTAAAAGTTTATACACTTGTTTAAAACAAGTTATAGAATAAATAGCTTGAAACATGAGTTAAAATCAAAAGATATTAGTCAGAAAATAATTTTCAAAATAATAATTAACCACGATAAAACCGTCAATATTAACATCCGCTGTATGCCGTAAGCCATATTGAAACACACTCATTAATGCATTCTTACGCTGCATTGATATATAATTTAAGAAATTGCGCATTTATCAAGTCACATTGGGGCCGAGATTATCTCCTACTGCACATGCACTGCACATGCTTATTGACTATTCTGTCGTATGTTCTGTGTTATAGCAAAATTTTAAAAAACGGAAGAGATAAGCAATAATATTGATAAGTTATATTCGATTTACTTGGCTGCGTTCAGAAATCCTATCCGTTGGGTAGAGTAGAGTTGAGCAGGGTAAAATATACTCAAGTAAGCTTTACTCAGAGTAACATCTAGTCATGCGACTTTACGAACATATAGTGTAAGTATGGCGGAGCATATAGTTCGGCGAAATTTAATATTGTATATTGCACTCACATGCAATTATAAATTATTGCAAATATTAAGAAATACTGTAATAGAAATTGAAAATGAAAGTAATTATGACAATTTAGAAGAAATGTTTTTAAGTACAAATATTATATATTTATTATAATTTATAAAAAATAATAATTTAATATTTTGGAATATTATCAAATATTTAGAACAATTTTCATAATTAATTGATAAATATAATCTAACCTAATGTTTAAGTCATCAGGAAAATGATATTTACAATATTTATTTATCGGATTTATCAGTTAATAAAATAATATTATCTTGAATAATACATTTCTCATTATCTAAACGATAAAGAATGTGACGTCTCGCAAATGGCTTAATAAGATATACCATGGTGGTCTTTCGAGTAGGCCAGATTCTTAGTCAAGATCATTTGTTTTGTATTTAGCGCTAAAATAGTGGGGTTACTTTGTAACTCCTGAAAATTCTAAAGTTAAAAAATTAACCTTAGGGTATACTCTGACGTTTTTACCTGACATTTCCGAACGCAACTAGTGTGTCTTGTCTTACCCGGGTTAGTTTCTAAACGATAACGAATAACTTTTTAACTTGGGGTAGAATTTCTGAACGCAGTCCTTAGTATATATATTTATAAACAAGAAGGAATTCCTCTTTCATTTCAAGTTGCGAAGCTTTGGTGAAAGGATACAAAACACTGTTTTTATTTATCGGATCAGAGCAAAAGGTAAATAGTTGCCTATAATTTATTCGATCACTGAGAAAAATATCCAGCAGTTTTAATCAGAAAAAAATGTTCGAACACTTTATCCGATCGATTTTGAACGGATCTTGGACTATCCAATACAATAATGGATGTTTTTATCCGATGAAATGTAATTTCCGACGAAATATGAACGGATAATGAGCCGCGATTTATTTATCCTTCAAATTAATATACAATATGATCGGACATTGCACTTAATTGGATAAAAACAGAGTATTTTATCCGATCAAGCTGAATATCCGATCTAATATACTATTTCTGATTAAAATAAATCCGATGAAATACAATTTATTCGTTCAGAATGTATCTGATAGTTGTATGAGACATGCATGAGACCGAGTTCTATAAAGCGCATGTACGCGCACGCATCTATAGTATCCGTTACGTATACTGTAAATAAATGCGCACATATCCGCTTTACAGAGATCAGACACTTAAACTTTATTCTCTCATGTCTCGTCGAAGCAACATGTCGTACAGTGTAATACAATATTACTTGTGAACAGCGTATATTTGTAAATAGTGTAAGTGTCGAAAGTTCTATTTTGTTAACGATTTTTGTTTTTTTTCATAATTATTGAAATTTTTTAATTAAAGAAAATCTCCGAAGACACACATATTCGCCGATTTTCTATTAATATTAATATTAATATATTCTATTAATATTAGTATTCTATTAATATTAATTAATATCTCAATAACACTGAAAAAAGAATTTAGTAGTAAACACTAGAATTTAATAACAATTACTAAATGATTTGGGCAAATAGTTCTAATTAAATGTGTGGTAACAATTACAAAAAAAAATTAATTGAGTAAATAAAATATTTAATTTAGACTATTTAAATTTAATTCATTCAATTACAAATTTGATTCGTTTAACAAAACTTTAATAACTGCAATCAAATTTTAGTAGCAGAAAATAATATATTTAATAAGTATTATCAAATATTTGGTAATTTTAACTAAATCATGATAACGAGAAATTAAAAAATTAAAATTAAAATTAATTAAAATCAAATTTTTTTATTATTATTTTTTTATTTATAATTTATACTTGCATATTGCACTTTACATTTTAAATAGGTAATGGACGGATTATTTTTGTTTATTTGCCGGATATTTACTTATCTGACTTATAAAATCAATTTAATATCTGAAACTCTTGTATTGAGAAATCAGAAATTAAATTGAGCAATATATTTTTAATCTTATATTTGTTACTCTTTGCAAACTTTATATAATTCTCATATTTAAACTTAAATACGAAAAAGATAGCGCATTTCACGTCGAGCATAGCGATGAACGAACAAATTAATATATCCTTGCGTGCTTGCGCGAAACTTTACACGACTATCTTACCAAAATTTGTTAATAATTACCAATTATTTTATCAACATGTTGACCTAACGAAATCATTTAATAATAGTTATCAAATATCTAATAATCTTAAATTGAATGATTTAGTAATATTTACAATAATTTAATACATATTTAATAACAATCATCAAAGATTTTATGATAAGTATTAAATATTTAATAATTATTACTAAATTGTTTAATTGATTCAATTGCAAACAAAATTTGTTTGCAACTAGACCAATTGAAGATTTAATAATTATTATAAAATATGGTAATATTTATCAAATATTCAATTAAAATTCACAATTAAATATATTTGATAATTATTACCAATCAGTTTTTTCAGTGAACTTGAATAAATAATTATATGGATTTTTCTGTTCAACTCTATATTATCAGCTCATGAACGTTATGGTGCTAATTATCAGTAATTTGAGCAAATTTGTTGAAAATATTTATTAATATTTAATAGGAAAATTCCGACCAAGAATTAGATCTATTGATTGGATATGATATAATGGGACTATCCGCTCAAAAAATAACAAACGGATATTTTAGATCGGATATTTTCTAATCGAAACTTTCTGATCGGGTATCTTTGATTGGTTATTTCGGCCTTCATTGGTATTTTCTTCCGATTAAAGAAACCGATAATATCCGTTTGTTACTTTTTGAGCGGATTTTCAATTTTCACCAGATATTTTTTTCAGTGATACAATAATCATTCATGTAAAATATACTCTGGAACACTGAATGATATGTTTGCGAAAATTTAACTATATTACAATATTTTGCATTAAAATAGACAATTTCCCGTTATATTTTCTATAGATGATTTGTGTTGTATTATATCTGTCAATCTTGAAAACTTATTTGATGCACACAAAACTACGTGAAGTGTTAGTTTTATACAAGCCGATGCGATAAAGAAAAGTTACTTGCATAAATATATAAGAATTAAAAAGAAATTCATAAGAATGTCTTTTGTGTAAATTTGATTAAAACATTATCTTGCTTAATATTTTTGATGTCTCAAAATACCTTTATGTTCTTCTCTTAAGTTACATTCGAGCAAATATAAAAATTCATGAGTGTGTTTTAATCCTTAGATTGAAATAATTTTTCGAAATAATTTTTTAATCTGTGTTTTTTTTTATCATAGTCACAATAGTAACAAGATTTAACCTAACTTAACAAGAGATAAGTGTGTTTTTTTAATAAAAAGTTTCACATTAAAACTTTCCATCGCATCTCTATCTACTGCAAATATAAGAGTATGGAGCAAAAATAAAAAAAACTCTTTCATTTATTATATAATAAAGAGTCAAACTATTGATTAAATCTATTAGAAATTTTAATTCAGATCAAGTTATTGACAATAAAATTTAATAATCTAAGATAATAATATTTTAATAAGATATTCTAAATGGATGAATCGCATTTGCTACGCAGAATTTTACACAAACTATAGTTTGCTATGCAGAATCTTGCACAAGATACAATCTTATGATAAATTATTGATAAATCATTGATATTAATTAATCATTGATATTTGTTTTCTATTTTAATTATTCGATTATAAAATAAATCTTTTTTTGTCAGGAGATCAAACTTTAAATTGTGCAAAACAGTGCAAAACTACACCGATTCACTAATATCATAATATAAATCGATCGATATGAGCTTGATCTACTGCACGACAATATTATTAATAATATCTATCAGTCTCTTCTACATATATGCCAAATACAAGCTATCTTATTGGAAAAGACGTGGTGTCAAAACTCCTCCGACGCACCTTCTCTTTGGTAATTTTAAAGATCTTCTCACCTTGCGAAAACCGGCAGGTGAAGTAATGCGCGAGATCTATAACAGCGCCGATCCGAATGATCCCTACATCGGCTTCTACATCTTTCATAAGCCAATGTTGCTCTTGCGAAATCATGATCTAATCAAACAAGTGATGATTACTGATTTTGAGATTTTTCCAAATCGACGGTTTGGTTCAACGAAGCAAAAGGATTCGATTGGCCTAGATAGTATCTTATCTATTAAACAGCCTAGATGGAAATATTTACGAAGCAAATTAACCCCGTTCTTGACTGGACAGAAGCTAAAAAATATGTTGCCACTGATAGAGGAATGCGGAAAGTCTATGTTGAAATTTATCGAAAACTTATTGACAAACAAATTTGTAGATAATAATTGTGAAATGAAAGATTTGAGTAGCCGTTATGTAAGCGACGTTATTGCCTCCGTCGCATTTGGTATCAACACAGATTCATTTAATGAAACACAAAATACTCTCTGGAAAAATGGTAAAATTTTATGCTTATTTATACAGGGTGAGTTTTAATACTTGTGTCAATCTTTTTATCATACGGGAGATACCGACTGCATAATAAATTAATCGGTACATAAATGTCAATTATTTGGATCGATCCTATCTAAAGTCCGAATATAATATGTATAATAGTAATAATAATAATAATAAATATGTAGCTTTAATAATAATAATAATAATAATAATAATAAATCCATACTATATAATTTCAGCTTTTAATTTGCTTTAATTGTACATTTAATTGATACAACCATTAAAACTCACCTTGTATATATCTTACATCTATTGTAGCTAATTAAGAATTGAAAGCAATTGATAAATAATAAATATAGGGAAAAAGTTCATTATTAAAAATATATGGAAAATCGAATAAATTCAATTTGAATAATAAAGTTGTTGAGAAATTATTATCTGTTTCTTGCATGGAAGAAAAGTACTATAGATAAAAGAAAATAACATCTAAATATCAATACAAATATACAGAGGATACATAAAAGATATATTGAAAAAAAATTCAGAAACCTTCTAAGCATTTAAAAAATTTTGTATTTTTATTTATTCTAAAAACATTACATTTGTATAAATTCTTCAAGTTTGTTGTATAAATTCTTCTAGCAATTTATAGTCATTTATATAAGATTAAGATAATTTGATTATTTCATCAAAATTAAGCATTAATATGATGGAGAGTTTCTTTCTAGCCTAGTGTAGCAGTGTAAGAAATTATGACACGTAAAATGTTATATTATTTATACATTATATACTTTTTCATTATATGTATATACATATATATAAGATTATGTAAATTACACTATACAAATTAATGTGTTACATATTCAGGTATGAAGATCTTCCAGGGTATTAAAGGTGTTATATCATTTACTATCAGCTTTTTCATTCCCGAATGGTGTTTTTTAATGGAACCATTTACTAAGGAACCTGCAAAGTACTTTCGCGAAATTTTCTGGGATTCTATAAATACGAGGGAAAAAATAGGATTCAAGAGAGGAGATTTGATGGATTTTATGTTGACACTCAAGAATGGAGAACAGAATCCTATTTATAGTAAAGATTATTTATCTCAAATAAGTAAAAAAAATTTCATATGTAAAAATGATTCAAATGATACAAATTTAATAAAAAGTAAAAGAAAGCTAAGAACCAAAGACGTAATAGTAATAATATATTAATAAAAACCCTGTAAAATTATTCCACTTACATACAATAAGAAACGCAAAAATATATGTTTAAAATATACTCTCAACGACATTTCGATTGCAATAATATGATTACATTAACATAATATTATTGTAATATTATATTTTTCTTGTTTGACTTTGAAAAGGACCTAAAGCAGAGTCGAAACGTTGTCGACACACTTTAAATATAAGCACACTTTAAATATATATTTTTGCGCTTCTTATTGTATATAAGTATAATAATTTTACAAGATTTTTATCAATATATTATTACTATTACGCACCATTACTTGCGCCATTGGTTTCTAATCTTTTTTTACTTCTTATTAGATTATTTTTCTCGTTAAATAATGTGAGCATTAATAATTAGCATATAAAACATAATATACATATATAAAATGTAACGATATATTAATACTATAATACTATAAAATTCATAAAATACTATATAATTCTTTATTAAAAAAGAAAAACAAGATAGAGAGAGAGAGAGAAATAAGAGATTTTTATTAAAAGTTTATATTATTCAATGATATCTTTTACAGAATTTGAGGGCGATAATTTAGTGGCACAACTAGCCAGTTTATATATAGCTGGATTCGAAGCAACCTCGAATGTAATTGCATTCACTCTATATCATTTAGCGTGTCATCCGGAGCATCAAGTTACTTTGTACAACGAGATACAAACACATCTAACAGAAAAACAATTAACGGTGGATCTAATCAATAAAATGTCTTTTTTGGATTGTATTATATCTGAATCATTAAGATTACATCCTCCTTTACCTATCGTCGACCGAACAGCTATAAAAGATTACGAGGTGATCAGCATAATTTTATAAATAACTGAATAAGCTCTTTCGTGTTATATGTTTCTTAATTACAATAGTATTCTCATTTTTTTAGTTACCAGGCACTGGATTAATTATCGAAAAGGATATCTCGATCTATATCTCCATAAACGCAACGATTCAAGATCCTGAATATTTTCTCAATTCAAACGATTTCATTCCATCAAGAACAGTAGAAGACAAAAAGTTTTACGATTCTTTGGTATTTGGCATCGGACCCCGATCGTGTATAGGTCAGATATAAAAAATTATCAGAAAAATATTGAAAAAATATGCCATAATATATTTTTATTTTCATATCTTATATTTCATATATATTAAATGCATACACAAGTTTGCATGATGCAACATATTTTAAATTTTCAGGACAAAGATTGGCCATATTAATTATGAAAGTAGCGTTAATCAGAATTGTTTCGAATTACACTCTCAATTATGAAAAGGATAAAAAGATTACCTTAAATGATGCCATTCACGTATTCACGTATGCAGCTGGTGGTCTTTATGTAAGATTTAAAAAACATTCGCATGAATAGGAAAAGCGGATTAGAATGCGCTTTTAATTAAACATTTTATTATTATTAGATATAAATATCACGAAATGTATAATTTTTATAATGTTTATAATTACTTAAAAATTTAAAAGGCTAGAGAATTTTGACTATAAAAGATTTAATAATAATAAAACTATAAAATTTATTGCGTGTTTAATAAAATTGACCATCACATGACTTGTATGATAATATATTGTATGATAATATATAATAATATGTTATCATTGAACTGATTTTTCTTCAAGCACTGCGGCGATCGATCGTGAATTGCAATTAATACAATTTACGTCACGATTAAATAATATTATAGATATAATCATTGTAAAAAATACAAGTGATTCAGCAGCAGTCGCTCTTGACATGTTTTCTCTCTCTCTCTCTCTCTCTCTCTCTTTCTCTTATATATTACTAAAATATATATTATCATTTAATATGTATTTTAGTAGTGTATATAGAAGAGAGAAAGAGAGAGAGAAAACATGTCAAGAACGAATGCTGCTGAATCATTTGTATTTTATACAATAATTATACCCATAACATTATTTAATCGCGATGTATTGGTACGTTGCATTGGTGATAATTCATCAATAATTTATTATTCAATTTTATTGATCAATTTTTTTTATTCATCAATAATTTATTATTCAATTCTATTGAACATAATTCATCGATAATTTATCAATTTTATTATTCCATTTAAAAGAAACCACATTTCCCTTTCAATCATTCTTTTTAAAGGTTTTGCTGGAAAAGACCATTACTTTTCGACCATGAAATATATAAGTCGCGGTTAACATCTTTTTTTATGTATCTTGCGAAGAATACTATCTCGACTAACATTTATTGAAATGTGAATTTATTCTGTTTTAATAATGTAATTTATTCCGTTCTTTTAAATCATAGCTTTTTGCTTATTGGCAAAAGAAAGCAAAATAAATAAGTACAAATATGTTAATTCAACAAAACCGGTGCCTCATATCATTATAGTTTGACTTTTTTATTTTACAAAATATTACATATATTACAAATAATTATATTCCAGAGAAGATACAGAAAACAATGTAAAAAATTACTAGAAAATTGTGTATATACTTAGAAATGTAAATGTACAAAATATATGAATATATCTCTTTAAATAGCATAACATCTTAAATTCAATATTACTAACTTATTATCTTTTTGTATGTATGAATAGAATGTACGATTTCTAGTATATTCAGGTAACTTTATATAAAATATCCGTCATACATATACTAATTTTAATAGGCACTTATTAGGCACTCATTCACTATTTATTTGTTTCTAAAATTTAAAAATATTAGATTATATCGTGATTATATCGCATTTGGACAATTTTATAAAACACTACGACAAAGTAATAACATAAAATTAAGTTGCATCATATTGCAAGTAATGCACATTAATATACTCACGAGAGAAATCTCTTTATATTTTTGTGCATGTATCTTGTGTATATACTATATACTGTACAATTAAATATATCGTCATTTCGCGAAATCAACAGTTTTATACTGTTAATATTTAAAGGAAAGATAAATTTTTTAAAAGACGTGATCGCTGCATATATGTCATGGCAAAATTTTTAATTATATATTAAACATATAATTTAAAGTTTTGTTTCATGTTTCACTCGTGTTCTGAGTAATTGACTCGGTCGAAAAACACTATGAGAATTATTTGAATAACAATTATTGGACATAACATGAGACACGTTGCACTCGAAACTAGGATTAGCAACATCATTATTCTCATTATTTTCATACACATGACACTTTTGTAAGGCTTTGTTATGATTACGACCGTGATTAGCCTTTGTTTGAATTTGTGCCTCCGAATCTGTCTCATCTTCGTTATCAGCACTATCTACATCACCTGGAAGCATCATTATTAGTGCTAATAAAAGTATATAAATAATCTACAATTAATAAATCTAAATTGTAAATAATTAAAATTTTTTGTGATATTATATATATAGAACAATATAACTATAATAAACAAAAAATATATTTACCATCAGAACTATTAGTAGACGGTAAATAAAAGCGCGAAGGTGGCAATTTATTATTTCCCGAACGACGCTCTCGTTCTCTCGCGACACTATTGGGATGATTATATTTAAATTCACGAGGAAGTGTATAACTTCTAGGTAGTGAGATTTGGCTACCCTCCATATCGCTAACTTCCGCTTCTCCTTCACCCTCGCACTTGGAACTTTCTTCGGCACCATTTTGATTTGCGTGTAATCTAATGAAATAAATGATTAATCGATCATTCAAACATATACAACAATATGTTCAACATATTTGATGGATTTTTTATTACCTATGACTAAGATGTCCAGATGGAGACCAATGAGAATAGTGATGCGGAAGACACCGCGGCGCTAGTAATATTTCTGGTGTGTCTGCTCGCTCTCGTTGAGGCACCGCTCTCCACGAATTCGATGAATGCGGATTAGGATAGTATGAGGAAGAAGGTGGCGGAGGTAAAAGGCAGTGCATTTTCACTGGTGGCCAAGATGACAATGTACCATTTTGCTCAGAAAATGATGGTGGAGACGTGAATAATGGAGAACTTGGTGAGGTATGCAGTTTAGTATTCGGTGGTGGTTGCTGATTAGATGCGGAAGGAGAAGATGAGAAGGAGGATGTAGAGGCAGACGGAGGTGGAAACAATTTACCTTCCTTGATCTCTTCTTGTATGGCTCGCAATTCGCGTAGCTGCTGTTGCTTTTTCTCCTTCAACTTTTCTCGTATTAACGTGACATTTAACGAGCCACCGAGTGCCATATCAGTTTCATCTTTGCGTTCATTGGAACCATCATTCTGTATCAAAAAAACAATCGTATTGTAATAAATACGATTAGTGAGTAAATTAATAAATAAGTATCTATCTGTACCTGTATGACGTTAGAGGATATAGGTTTTTTCCAGAATGGAATTAATTGTCGCGATCCATTACCCACATTGAGCCATTGTTTTGAATCTGCCACTGTCGTCATGGAATTCATTACCGTGCTTGTTTGCGATTGGGGCGGCGGTGGCGGTACAAAGGTAGTCGGTTTTTTCTTTTTGCGATTTGGATTCACAGCCGTTGGATTCGCGAAACGGCAGTTAAAGACGCCTGGTATGCCGCCATTGCTTAATTTTACTTTTCTCGTGCTGATACTGATATTAACTTTCTTTTCCTCATTATAATCTATTTGTTTCTCTTCCACATTGTCCTGAAAGTTTAAAAATTATATAACAATCTTCCTCCAAGAAAATAAATCTATCTTGCATTATACCTGATTAGACAATGTAGTGAGATTCGAACCAGTCATTCTTCCACCAGACTCATACCTCAACCTTCTCACGTGAAAAAATCTATAACAGAAAAGACGATAAAAAATCATCAAAAATTAATTATTTATCAATTAATTAGTAAAATAATTAAAATGTTGTATTTACCTATAATAAAGACCCATAAAAAACATGCCACCTGAAAATAAAGCTAGAAGAATAAGTACTAGAATAACTGGTTGCAGATGATGTTGACGAGTTAAAAGATCAGCGCGATTAACACCGACCATCCACACGCCAATGAGCAAGCTATTTTCCAAGAACATTACAATGTAAAATATAGCCTGCAAAAAAACGTAATGTTAAGATAATATTAAAAAAACGTAATGTTAAGATAATATTAATATAATATAGAAGAAATTGTTTGTGCAAAGTTGTTTTGAATATGCATTTTTTTAGATGTAAAAAACGTTCATTTGCTCATATATTTAACTAACCATTTTTTGACGATGATTCGTCTCATGTAGATTAACATACGCAAATATATATACAAAGGCAAGGAGAGAAGCGAGGAAAGTCTTTCTAAGAAGGGGAAGACGTTCGCCACCATGGAAGAGTCCGTCCGGTGTGAGCAGTAACCATGTCAACATTGTTAACCAGTGCAGGGCCATTACAATCAATAGCCATTGTCCACCGTACAACGAAGCGTATGCGACTAGTACTCCGACACGAGCACTCACTGTCCCCAAACGCCAGAATAATTGCGCCAGTACCCCCAACCATGTTAACACTAAACGTTCCAGATTACGAAGACGCGCAGCACCTTTGCTAAAACTGGCCACTGCCCAACACACGCTCCACAACGAAAGCCCTGCCGACACTAACGTTAGCTTCGCTAATTTACTGTCGTCCTTGCTCTCGCTTTCTTTTGGTTTCCCGCCTTCTATTTCACCATCATCCGTAGCGCCGAACAAGACATATAGCTGCAGAAGTAGCATTGGAGCGGCTTCACAGAACGCGTGTATCAATCTTAAGACACACAGTTCCCGCACCTAGGATAAAATTGATATAAGACAAAAGAGGCAAGTTTCTTCTCTCAGATCAGAGATTCTTCTTGAAAATATACCTCGTGTTTCACATAAGTTAAGTTGACTGGTATAAATAACTTGAAATATCTCCATAATACACCAATTTGAGTAGAATGGAGTAATAGAACACAGCCTATAGTCCAGTTGCCAATTTTATTTATTGAATTAGCATGGTAATCATTTGATGCATTGTTATTTATTAATTTGCCTCTAGCTCCCCAAAGATACCATCGCAAACTAACAATCTGTAAAAATAATATAAAGATAATAATGAGAAAGATAAATATACATTGTAAAATCCATTTTTGTTAATTCAGATACTAACTTGAGAAACCAACAGAGAAGTGGCTATAAATGTAATACTTAATGGAAATAATGCAGGTGGTGCTATTGCTTGATGGGCGAGAGCATATACCATTGCAAAATCGAAGACAACATCGCAGAAATAAGATGCTAATGAAATAATATTAAAGAGTACATCACACAGGGGTAGAAATTCATGCTGATGTTGTAGTTGATGACACTGGGCCATAATGGGTTTTATTACCCATTTGGAATATTTAGCAATATTTTATTTTATTTTCATCAATCCATGGTTTCTCCTCTCTGTGAAAATAAGTAATTACATATATCAATTATTAAATTGTATCATTAAACATGTATCATTAAATAAGATCATTTTTTTATTACAAATTACTATTACATTAAGGATATTAATATTAATGACATAACAGATAAAAGAAAAAAAATTCTTTTTAAATCTTTATACATATAAAGTTAATTTCTTTTTGAAGAAAAAAATATTCATTTTTTCAGCAATAAAACAGAATTTAAAAAAATAGATTTACATACATTTTATATATTATTTTTTCATCTTCATTATTGTTTACTTAAAATTTTATGAAATATAAATCATATATATATTTTTCATTCTTTAAATTCAAATTACTATTTTAAATACTATTAAAAATTAATATATGTATATCACATAATTTTATATAATTTAAATATATATATATATATATAAATTGCTCAATTTTTTATTATGAAACATATAATAGAAATTACCAATAGAATTTTTAAAGAGAATTACAAATAAGCAACAATGTTCAATAGTTACAAGCGGATTTATTTATCCGTTATGTATACGCGGGGTCAAACTAACGTCGCTCTCGCGACGTCACGAGATCCGCGTTTGCCCTGCGCCGCATTCAAAATCCACTGTACTCGCGTTTCACTTACATTACGACGCGATTAGGCGATTTTTTAAAGACGAGCGATACGAGATGAACGTCGCAACAATGTCGGCGCGTATAGCGCAGCGTGGGATCGCACGCTCGCTCAGCGCATTCCGCGCGTGTCATTGACGAGAGCGACGATCACAAAAATCGCTCTCCCGATCCGGACACTGCCGCCACAGCAGCCGCCGCTGCGCCGCTCGCGGGGAAGCTGGATCAGTGGCGTTGGTATGCGCGGAATCCGCCCGTGCGCGTCCGCCACGGAATAACGCGCTTAAGAGAACGCGCGTTTCCACCCGGAGCGCCGTTCCCTCCTGATGATCCCTTCGATCGGCCGCCACTCGCTGTCCTTTAACAAGACTCGTCGCCTTCGTCTTCTTCGTCTTCTTCGTCGTCGTCGTCGTCGTCGTCGTCGTGCCGTTTCGTCGCGACACTCGCTCGCTCGCGTATCGCATCTTTCGCGAATCCGGGCGCTACGAGAGACGTCGCGCGTACGACGTCGTCCCACGCATACCGACCCGCCGGGTCGATCTACCTGTTGATACAGTGCAATTCAATGCGGCTACTTTACGCGCACACCGTACGCTCTTTCGTTCCTTCTTCTTCGCTCGCGTATCCGTTTGCTCGCTCGCTCCTGTAATACCTGTAAACACCTGGCGCCGCCGGTGAGGAACGCGAGAGCAAATCTCACCTTAGGCGGCCCAAACGCGCTCCACCGTCAAAGATTTTTTTCCGATTATTCTTCCTCCCGTCTCGATATACGAGCGCTAACGCGAGTTTGGGAATCGCGTAATCATCGCGCGAGATTCTAGAATGCACATGTATAATTTTCAATGAAAATGAAATATTTATTCATAAATGAAAATGTATTGATAATAATACGTACTTACGAAAATATATATGGAATTATTATATATATTTTGTGCCTGGCCGTTATTTCTATGTACATAATTCAAGGTTTCTATATGATAATATGTTTATAATACATATAAAACATTTTGTTACAAAATTATTTTAAAAATTTATAATTGCACAATTCAATGTATAAACAAATTATTCTAGAAACTTTTGTATATACTATAAAATCTTGTAATATACTTAACATTTCATCATTTGTGCGATTCGTATATTATATGAATCATAAATATATCTCAATGTTAAATACCATGATAAACATTAGGCAATTAAAGAATAATTTCATTCTTATAATTTCTTGTAAGTTCCTTATGTGGTAAAACAATCGAATTCAATAAAATTTTTTCCGCAGCTAAGCTTACACTGGTACCTGAAAAAAAATATATATATATAATTTCAAATTGGAATTATTAGAAAAATAATTTTATATTTTATTTTTCCTTACCGAGGATCGTGATGGAAGGATTGAGTTTGCCATTGACGTTAAATAATGGCAAGTTTTCCATTTTTGCAAATGGCTTATTAGGATTAGGATCGCAAGGAGTCCCTTCAACACGTGCCCATTCGCCTACATTAGTACCAGTTCCTATAATGCTATGTAGAATCAGAGAATGGGCCTGTATATGTGCATTAGCCAACACAATTGACTCCCTAATTCTTACACCAGCTCCAATAGTCGTATTTGGACCTATACTCACATTAGGACCTAGCTGCAAAGAATATAAATTTTGTGTTATAATATGCACGGGCAAACTCACATAAATCACATTTTAAGAATAATTTTTCTTCATACAATGGAAGTTGGATGTACAGTAGCTGATGAATGAATATATACATCTCCTATAATGTTACAAGAATCATTACTCGTAGAAGCAAGACGATTTGGATGTTTTTGCTTGTAGAGGGCCAAGTAATGTCGATTGGCATATATTGCAGAACCAGCAGTTTTTACTTGTGACCACCATCTCAGTACAGGTATAGCGAACAATCGTCCAGATCCTGCCAAACGTGTCAGTATATCTTGCTCAAATGAAATGTGCGCTGGGTCTCTACCATTACAGCACAATTGCCTGCAACAAATCATAACAAAATATGAGGAAAGAAACAATTATTATTTTCTTTCTCTTATCACAAGTGTAAGAAACTTACATAATATGTTCTTGCTGTTGATTAGCATGAAAGACATCTGCCATTGTTTGAAAGATTTCGAGAGAAGCAAGATATACTCCACAGTTAATAAGAGTAGACACAAATGTTGAAGGTTTTTCGACATAATGCGCCACTTCTCCTTCTTTGCCCAAAACCATACATCCATAATTTAAAGATTGTTGTCGAGTAGCTTCCGTTGCCATGATTGTAAGCAACGCTTGTTTACTGTTGTGAAAGTCTACCATTTCTTGCAGAGGAAAATCAGCACAAACATCTCCATTCATAACAAAAAAATACATTGGGCTACCTGAACGAATCTGATCACGAAAATGATACATGCCTCCTGCTGTTCCAAGAGGAGTAAATTCTTGCAAATATCTAATAATTATGCCATAAGTGCTTGACATTTCCCGTACAAACTGAGCTAAATCATTTTTAGAATATGCACCAATTATCAATATTTCATTAAGACCAGGCACCTTAGCACATGCCTCGATATGATGTTGTATCATAGGTAATCCGGCCACTGGAAACAATGGTTTTGGAATATCCAAAGATAGAGGCCTAAATCTTGTTCCTATAAGCAAATAGAAACATTTAATAAATAATAATACATGAAAACAAAATATAAATTCAGAGAGGCAAAAAAATTTATTAAAGTTTATTAAAGTTTTAATCAAATATGTATATAATTATGCAATTAAAATAATATATGTATACTGTTTTTGATAATTCTATACTTTTATAATTTTAATTATTTCATAATTTTTAAATAAATAAGTAAACTTTTTAAGTCAGTACAAACCTTTCAAAGGTCCTCCAATTAAAATGACAGCTTTCAACATGATTGCACAAAACGATTCTGTTTCCTTAGATAATTAAGAATATTTTTATTTCCAATAAAACACCAATCATCCAAGAGTATTTTTATTTTTGTAAAACTGATAAATTTTTCAAAAGAAATAACAGGAAGTTTTTAACATCAATTATACCACACCACGTAGACATGTTCGTATACTCGGGACGTGGACAGATGTGTTTGGACGTGTCATCATTGATATCATTGTAACGTTTACTTATCGATGAATCGACTTTGTGAGAAAACGACGAATATCGGAAAAGTGTTTTTCTTCACATAAATATTATTTGTCACATCGATAACACTTTGTTTATATTGAAAGGTTATCGAAATATTTGAAATGTTGCATATATAATTTAATATAAGAATAAAATATAAACTTTAATTGCATTTTTAACTTTTGCGTTTAAATTTCATTATTTTACCGGACTTATCAATGTTCTAACCTTCTTTTATATAATTTATTTGAAAGTAATTTTTCATCTCGTTTGCGTTAAGAAAATAATGAATGGCTGAATCAGCTGATACATGGTATTTTATATGAAGTAACTAGCTCTCTTCTTCATTTTTTTATATTTTTCTACAATTCAACTCTGTATTTTATCTTTCTTCCACTATGTCTTAAATATCATTTAAAATAAGAAATAATTAAATGTATTATATATAAGTAAAATTTAATACTCGATAAAAGTCTGTTCCTCGATAAGAAATATGTTTTTCCTTATATAAAACAAATTTTATTATTGGATACTGAATATACACTCGACACCAAGAATGTCTTGAAGTTCATCAATCCTTTTTTGTTACATTCGAGATGCGCGCATCTAGATATTCGTACATCATGACTGTTGCTTAAGAAACCGATAACGTAATCTATTAAAGAAATTGTTTAGAACAAAGGAAATCGACTCTTATAATTCTACATCAAATAATTACCATAATAAAAAAATTGTTACATACAATTTTCCTCTATTGTGTTACTGACAATTACTTTACAATGTGAAAAAAATTAATCCATCATTTTCTTTATTTTTAAAATATAAAATTGATTGCAAAGGAATGTGTTATTGTTTTATGTTTTATAATCAATTATTTAGTCATCGATTCTTTACTCGACACGTTGTCCACTACTATCAGATTATCAATTATATACATAATATATTCTATCAGCTAAATGACATTTTTGATAATTCAAATTTTATGTAAATCTCTAAATTAAAGAAAACAAGTTTTAATATTTAAATAATGTAATCTCGCATTTTAAAAGATATATTTTTACAATACAATAAAATAGTAGACTTGTTCCAAAAATATCCCATAAATCTTCTTATCAAGAATGTCGATGGATAAATCAATGGTTATGGAGTAAATGGGGAAAAATAAAAAAAATAATTGTGTGCGTCAAAATCAAAGAACACGCTATGTATCAGATAATAAAAAAATAAGATATACTAATATTTTGGAAAAGTGATTAGAAAAATGTCGTAAAATAAGGTTAAATATCTCTCGAAACGATAAATATAAAAATATACTAAGCATGCCGTACTCTCAGGTATGTATGCACGTACAGCCCTTAATCTTTCGCAAGATTTTCGATTTCATTTTTTTCGATTTTATTATATATATATATATATATATATATATATATATTTACTTATTTATATATTTATTTATTTTTATTTATAATACAATAAATTTGTGTACCCGCAATTTTTTTTATGACATTAGTACGCCATATTGTTGACACCACACTCGCGTCATCCAATAGCAACGCAACGCGAAGATACAAGAACCAATCGGCTGTCATTGCCAGTATGTCAACGTTTCTCGTCGTGCGATCGTTTACTTGAAGGCAAATTCATTCCAAGTAATTTGTCTTGGGCGAGAAAGGGTTGGCGGAAGGACGAGAGGAAGAGGGACCGGAAGAGGGAAAGAAAAGCAGAGAGAGAGAGAGAGAAAGAGAAAGAGGGAGATCGCGAGATGTTCGTCGCGAGTTGAACCGAATCCCGCGTGCTTGGCGCGGGAAAAACTCCGTCGTCGTTTCCTCGATTCACGAAGGGCGCCGAAGAGCAGGGAGCAGCAGGGAGAAAGGACGAGGAGGGCGCCCGCGCGCGACAAACTTGGTACGGCCGTGCGCGAGGGCCAGTCGCAGCGTGCCGATGGCAGCGTAAAACGCTCGCATCGTCGCCGTCGTCGCCGACGACGAGCGAGGGATACGCTTTTTTTTTGCGGTGCGGGACGCCGACGTAGCTCGCGACCGGGAAGTGCGAAGGGAGTCCTGGTGCGTCGCGCGAGACGAGCATCGGTATATTTGCGCTTGGGCGAGCCGTGCGCGAGACAAGGAGGAGGAGACAGACGAGGAGGGGAGGGAGCGAGACACGCGCATACGCGCGCACACATACGTAGACGCACACGCACACGCTGGTGGCGCGTTCACGGAGCGCAATCTCGCTTGGCTCCGCACAGCTCCGCAGAGACGAAACGGCCGAAGTTCGGAGCGGACGAGACGGACGGGACGGGACGCGCCTCGCCGCCACCGTTTGTCGCTCGTCGCACGTTGTCGGAGTCGATTCGCCGCTCGGAGAAGAGAGGGAGTCCCTCGCCGCGTCCTCGTTCGCTCCCGCCTGAATACGTCGGGCACTTTTGGGATAATACACATCTCGGGGTTGTCCGTCGCCGCGTGCTGTTGCTGATTCTCGAGGACGAGGACCGCGAGTTGACCACCTGCCGGGAAGCATGGAGATATCCAAGGGCTTGCAGAAAGACATCGCCGCCGTGCAACAAAAATTGCAGAGCGCGATAATGGAGCATCAGGTAAGAGAATACGATATTGCGTGCATGGACGTACGTGATGTACGTACGCGCGTGTGTCGATAGCGATCGAGAGACGGAAGGGGATGGAGAGGAGGAGAGAGCGAGACAGAGAGAGAAAGAGAGAGAGAGAGAGAGAAAGAAAGAGGATACGGTGAAAGAGAAGCTTCTTCGCGAAGGGGTACTTCGAATCTTTAGCTCGACTCGGCGAAATTTTTCTTTTCCTTCTTTCCTTTTCCGCGATTGCAATCGCCCGCACCGGAGGACATCGGGCTAGCCCCCCCGTGAATTTTTCCGGCCGACGCGATAGATCGATCGAGACAACTCGAACGATAGATCCGACAGCGTCTTCTGCGGACAATTTAAGCGTGCGCGCGCGCGCGCGCGCGCGGCTCACACGCGAACAATTTGGGATTATTTATATGACGCGAAGGGCGGCGTGCTAAGAGCGAATCTGTGTGTCGAAAGTTTCATTTATGGCTAACCATGTTTGTTCCTTTTCTATCCGAGGCGTCACCGAGTGCGCCCTCTTCCTCTTTCTCTCTCTCTCTCTCTCTCTCTCTCTCTCTCTCTCTCTCTCTCTCTCTCTCTCTTTCTTTCTCTCCCTTCTCTGTCCGTCCATTTCTTTCTGCGCTTTACGCGCGTACGTTTCGCGCGTCGTTTACTCATCGGAAGCGATTTCAAGTCGAGAGATTCAGACACCGAGTTAATAGTATTTCGCGAGCGTAATAATCGCCGGCCTCGTCTCGCCGAAAACTTGTTGATTGTTCCCGCTTGTCTCGCAAAAGCGACGTCGAAAGTTGCAGTCTCTCTCTCTAGCGTCCCGTACGTTTACACGCGTCCATCTTTGTAAATATATCGATATTACATAGAAATCTCTTTTTACTGTCGCAGCCTTCGTTAGGAGACAAAGACGGAGAGCTCCGAGATAATAGTTCGGCGTAAAGAGACATCTTACGCGCATATTATCGATCAATATCGTATCCAGCAATGTTTCAGCGCACAAATCTCCGAACATTGATTCTCGTGACAATCAACTGCTTATTAAATGCGACGGCGCCTCAAAGTTTGCGCATTCAATTAAACGGTCACCTCAAACTCGCGAGCGACGTCCTCGACGGACAATCGATACTTCCTGAATTATGCGACATACTTTTCACCACGAGGCCGAAAAGAATTTTCTTAGCGTTGCATGCGTGTGGTACATTCAAATCAGCAATGGCAATCAATAGCTACAACGGATCGATATTATAAGACGAGTATCGATAGACGATCGGACGTGAGATTTTTTTTTTTTTTTTTCTTAATTTTCTTAACGATTTTGTTTATTTTTGCGGGTTGCAAATGGAGAAAATTATCATATAGAATGCAACGAGGGAAAACAATGTGCGTTGTATCGTGGTTTCGTAATAGTTGAACGCGATTTATGTAACCAAAGTTCGCTTATTTTGTTGGAGGGGGACAGGTGCAGTCGATACTTGCGCCGAGAAGCTTCCCAGAGTCGTCGAGTCACGCTTGATTGACTTTTACTGCGAAAATGTTGACGAGGACATTCTCTTTTACTTTTACGCGTGCCGAGTACACCCCGCTCGACTTTGATTAATATTTCATTCAAGAGTTGTCAGCGAAATAAGTCTCGTCAAGTTGCTTACAAAATTGTTTATCGATAATTACATCGGGATAAAAAGATCGTGCTCGATTTTCTTATGCACAAGGGAACGAAATAATTGAAATTTTATAAGCGGCATTTCTCGCTTCTCGTGAAATTGCTTCCACAAATTCTACGAAGTTATAATCACCATTATTACGATATAATATCAGATTAATTAATTGCGAATATGTAATATCGCGTACGCACGTTAATTTTAAATACTTTAATTTTGTATTTTAAATATTTTGATTTTTGAAATAAGAAAGAAAATTAAATGTAATAAATTAAAAGAGACAAGTTGACGAGATGTTAAAGACGAAATTCGAGAGAGAGAGAGAGAGAAAGACAGAGAATTTGCATCTTTATTAATTAATGGAGATATTAATGGGGTTGAAAGTGTAATGGCGTAATATGGCGCATCATGCTCCAGTTGATCATATACGCTGGCGGTTTTCGCAGATACGCTAGATTATTTATCCCCCTATAAGATTCTGTAAAATGTATTACCTACTTTTTTCGCATAAATATTAATGACGACCCTTTAATTTTCAGACGTACAGGAATAGACTGGAAACTGAGCCGAATGTAAGTATATATGCAATGTTTTTTTAATAATTTCCATAAGTTTGCATTTACAATTTATTAGAAGTTTATTACGATGCGCGTAAGATTTGGACAATAGGCAACAACAGAGCGAGATTTCGCAGGAATCGCGTGGTGCGTATGTGTGTGTGTATTTGGAATTCCGTAAGTCACATCGCGTAACAAACTTCGGCCAAATGTTTCATCTCGTTTCACCTTCGTTTCGCAGTAACTAGCGAAGGACATGCATACATCAAAGGAAACTTTTGCATTTAGATTGTCGTGCGCTTAAAATCAAACAAGACACATTACATACAATCACAAATCAATTTCAGCAATTTTTTTATAAAATAATTCTTAACATATTGCATAAGACGTTAGAGTTTCTTTTATTAGTAAATCTTATTTTTAAATCGTGTTTATAAATTAAAGTGTATTTAGTCTTTATTCCTATTGTCAATAATGTCATCAGATATAACTGTGATGCGCATAAACGTATAACAATAATATCCCGTAATATAATTATTTCACAAAGATCTCAATGAACACGAGTTGACCTACTTTTAATGGTTATGTAGTTTTTCTTCGAGTCTATTCAGACTCGATATAACTGTGATGCGCCCTGTTACAGAACTCAGAGATTCGCGGTGAGATGAAAAGGATTCAGATGTACATTTATACTTTGGGAAAATTTCAGGTAAGCGGACAATTGATTTTCTTTCATGTCGCATACATGTAGAATATTACAATCTATATTTATGTATCATCATTTTTCAAATTCTTATTAAGAGAACTTTCAAACTTTCTCTTAATCTTTTGACGAATCTATAATATAACTTTTATTTTAAACACACACACACGTGTGTGTGTGTGTGTGTGTGTGTGTGTGTGTGTGTGTGTGTGTGTGTGTGTGTATCTATGTATGCTAGTTTGAAAATTTTATCAAATGATGAAAAAAAAAGATTACAGTTTAAAGACTGATAATGAGTAAATTACTTTGGTCACGTCAGCTACAAAAATACCAGAGAAATATTATAATTCTAAGGAAGTTACATTTTCAGTCATTATCGATCCAAAGTATCTATTACAAAGCGAAAACTTTTGACGTGTCTTGCTTATATTAATTTTTGCAAAACATATACAAGTTTTATTGCTGCAAATATAACTCGGGTGGTAAAATGTAAATACAAAATATCAGTCATACATTATCTGATATTATGCTAAGTTATGAAATCTCTAATAAAAAAGGAATGTGAAGTAAATCTTAACAATAGTTATATATGGTAAAATTTTTAGAATGTCTTTACGTTTATTGTTTACAATTCTCTTGTACATATAATTGTACTTGCTCATGTTTTTTTAATATATTCAGTATGACAATCTTTTCGAACAAGTGAGATAAATAGTTGGAACATAATGAACGAGCATAGATAGGTACATACAGGCTACGAGAATGAGAAGGCGTGATGCGGCCGCTGGTGAGCGGATGAGGAAGAAGAGGGAGGAGGCGACAATTTAGAAAGAAGAAGCGAGAGCAACTTAGAGCGAAAGAAAAGCCGAGAGGTAGAGAGACGGAGGAGTTTAAAATCAATAAAATGCCCCGCGAAAACGTTTTCGGCTCTTTACAAAATCTCGTCTTTCTCATCCGTTTACATCTCTTCTCAACTTTCTGCTCTCCTAGCTTTTCTCATTCATTTGTGCCTAAGCGATTTTTTTTCCCCAACGATTATCTGTTCCTTACTTACTTTAAAAGCAGCGAAAACTTTCCAACTTTCGAGCATGAAGTAAACGCGTATTTTGTTTCGCAACTCCAACCACATAAATACATTAATGTTCTATTTGATCACATTATCATTTATATTTCTGATTATATTTTAATATTTCTATTTATATATGTATAATTGTAAGAGATATCTCCGAATAATTGTGCGACTTATGTTTTCCTGAAACATGTTGAAATTAATACATCTAGTTTCTGCTGCTTCTAAAGCTATTACTAAAGATTTTTCCTTTTTTATAATTATCGATAATTCTGTGCTATATATGTGTACATATATATCTTGTTGTTAATATACAGAGGAAATGCGTGCAGCAGCTGCGCATAGAGGCAGAAACGTTCTTGGCAGACAACGCAAATGGATCGAAAGTTTCCATAGCGGCTCTCTTGGGCCTGAATAACAATCATATTACGAACAACAACGAGACGCATGAAACAGCCGCCAATGATTTTGAGACAAAACCTTCAAAAGAGGACTATGAAGAAATTGTCAGAAATGGTGATGTTCATCATGTTTCATCACCGACGCAAGATAATGATTGTGCAAAGTAAGATTATGAAAAAATTTAATAAATTGATTAAAAATGACAAAATTGTCTATTGTTGAAATGTGTTGAATGAATGAAGATTTTGAAATTTGTTCAATCGAATATTTTTTTACAGATTACCTAGTCCTAGTTCAGTGGAAACTATTTCCGGTGAAGATGATGTCGTTGCGGTATCGATGGACGAAAATTCTGATGAGAAGCAAGAGGAAGAAAAACAAAAAGAACAGAAAAGTGAATCAATGGAAATAGAAGACTTCCTCGGTTGCCTCGGTCTTATTACTCAGGCAAGATGTGTAGAACTCCAGAACAGAAGAGTGGAAAGGAAGCGTCGTAGCACGGCAAATCCGCATTTTGTATATCCTACCTATAATCAACAACCGTCTGTAAGTATATCAATACTTTTATTACTATTTTAATGCTTATTTTGATACAAACAAAGTAACGTACAATTCTCGCAAAAACAACAGTGCAAAATTGTATAAAAGCGTTTTACATTCTAAAAAAAAATAAAAATTATGAAAATAAATGTAGAGATAAATTTTTCATATTTGATATCGTTGAAAATATACGATAATTAATATTTTGGCATATTTATTTTTTAGAAGCGGAGGAAATTGTATTCGTACTTTCAATCGGAAAATGCCCCTCACACTCGACAGACGACTGCTCGTATGAACGGTCCATCGCCACCACCTAATAAAACTCAACCAGCCAAATCTACCTCGCCACCAGCACAAACAGTAACCAAGTCGCTGATTCCAGTTCAAAAATCCACTACCAGGCCAAATATTCTCAGAAATGCGGACAGTAAAGTTTTTGTGAACAAAAACAAGATAGAAGACAACCAAATACGATCGTCCGTACCTAGTGCCAAATCTGTTCAGCCGATAAGCAATAAGGCTGTTCATATTCCTGGATTACCATCTAGTTTGACCATCGAAAGAATCGAGAATGAACCTGTTGTGTGTATCTGTTGTAGAAATCCAGGTGAGTAAAAGATATATATCATTTTAGATACATTATTTCTTTTAACTTTTTTTTTTGTCACAATATAGCGATTGCGCATAAGTAATGATTTCATCGTTTTCTATAGATTCATTAACGGTATGCAAAAATTGCTCAAGTAACTATCACGTCTCGTGTCATACTCGACCATTGGTTCCACCCAGAATCTGTCCAAGATGTGCGTTAACAATGGATGAAGAAGGCGCTGAAAAGGACGAAGACGCAGAAATTAAAAGGGAAGCGGAAGCAGAAAACAAACTTCCGCGTTCTAGAAAAAATGAAAAACTCGGTAAAACATTTTCGACTTCACGAAAGAGGAAATCCTCTTCCAAGAAAAGCGCTAAGCGTGTGATTGACAAAAAAGTTCTTGTTTCTACAATAATAGTTATCAAACAATCGCGGTAGGCTTATCTCAGTTGCGGCAGCAACTCGGCCGAGAATCATTAATATTTTTTAATCGTGAAAATCGGCAATTTCTTGCTGCCTTCTCAATTGATGGATTCTAAAAGTAATGACAAGGTGCAAAGCAATGCGAAAAACTTGCTCGAGATAAAATCAAAACAAAGGACCGGCGCAAGCACATTATTTTAAATAAGCACAGGAATTTGTATAACATGAGTCCATAACTTTTAGATTTAACATACAACGAGGTATCGCAGCGTTGTCGCAGACTTAATTGAGCGTAAGCACACACGCACTGAATAAACGAGAGAGACAGCCTGCCGGAAGAAGTGCTCGCGTCTCCGGCTTCTCGAATACGGCCGAAGAATTTGCAATTAAGAAGAACTTTTTGGTCGATCGTCCACGATAGGGCACAAAAAATACAACGTGTATTTTGAACGCAAAATATCTTGCAGAGGAAAAAGAGAGAGAAAGATATGAGCTGCGCGAACGAAACTCGGATCTGAGATTGCAGGTTTACGAGTTGGAAAAACGTTCACAACTACTCGGCCAGTCACTTCAGGTTCGTCCTGTGGCCTGCATAGAAAAAAACAAATTATAAAGTTCACTTTCATTTGGAATGCCCTTGAGTTATATGAATTATAAATTGCAAACAGTTTTCGTCCTTTTGTTTTTTCATCCAGAGGAACCTGCAAGATCTCTGCGTTTTTATTGTCATATTTTTTTTTATTTTTCTATTTACACGATGCTTTATGGAGACAGGTCGATTCTATTATCTAAAAATAATCGTGATTATGATTCTTTACACATATACATGTATCTTTACACGTGTACATATCTATCTTTTTTATACATCAGAGAGTGCATTTTTAGAAATAATTTTATTAAGAATCGATTAGTCTTTGATAGTTTTATTCATTATTAATTTTTGTATATGTATGAAAGAGTTAGCTTCGTTTCCTTAGTCGTTGATTATCATTATATTAATAATTTATAAATATGATGTATTTACATGTATGTACATGTGAGAACATAGAATGCATGAGATATTATTCAAATATTTCATTATTAATATATTAAAAACAGTAATTTTAATATAATGCTATATTTATTGATCATATTGAGAGTTTTTTTTAAATATTTTTAGAAAACAAATTCTTTATTATATGTCACATGTATGTAGAATATCATTGAAAAAAAAGCATTTTTATCGTTTTAACGTCGGCTATAGTAGATGAAAAGAAAGAAATATCATATTTCAATTTGAAATGATATGATAGACCAATCATAGAGCATTTGTGTAATATTTTATCTTGTGAAAGTATAGTCATTTTGTATATATTCATTATATTTTATTATCAAAGAGAAAGAGAGAGAAAGAGACAATTATTTTGACAAAATTCTTATAAGGGAAAAATCATTTGTTATTTTTTTACAATTACTGATACTGATATTATGACACAGTTATTGTAAGGAAACATTACTTTTAGAATCTTTGAAGTACATATTATTGTTTCTTATAGAATTTCTTTCGTTTTATCGCATCATGTGAATTAACAATTTTATAAATTATTATAAATTGACGACTAAGAAAAATGCATGGCATTTAAAATTTGTTAATTCTTTATGTTGAATCTTTTTATACAAAGCGAAAGTTTTTAGCAAGCCATTATAGTGGCTCTGTATGCAATAAATGTATATGATGAAAGTCATTAGAATAGTATATGTAAGTTATTCTTACAAGGAAACATATGAAAGTGCCATCCTTCGCTTTTGTAGATTTTTAGACATTCACATAGAACAATTAAATTTAAAAGAAAATTTAAAACAAAAATTTTTTTAAACTCTCAATTGTACGTTTAAGATTTGAAACAATCTCTCAAATCTAAATTGGTATAGTACGACTTTAAATAAATATCATTGAAAGCGTATAATGTACAAAATATGTTTTAGATATAAGTTTTGTCTATTAAATATATAATTATACATAACTATATATATATATATATAGATTTTTCCAAAATATTTTTTTCAAAATATTTTTACACCACACTCTGCGTTATTGACTTTTAAAAAATTTTTATAACTAAGAATATATAAAAAAAACACTTAATACTATGTATTCATAATATAACAATATTGTTGATTTTACTAAATTCCATATGCATATTCTTATACTCATTTATGTACTTATATCACATATTACTGCTAACCTTGTCGCAATTTTACAAGGTAACATATTTAAAAACAAAACTAGAGGCACACACTTGATGTTTCCTTGTTAATAGTGATAGAATTGAAAATTTACACTACATACATGTTCGAATTAAGAGCATTTCTCTATAAAATATGTAACATAAATTTTTTTTTTAATAGTTACAACAGCGCATGCGTCAGGAGCTATTGGGAAAGCAAGAGAAAACTCAGAAGTCTATAAAACGGCTGGTGGACTTCATAAAGTTGATGCAACTCAGAAAAAGCGCATCCTCTCCACCGCCCTCGTCAATCACTTGCCCGCCTCAACCTTCCTCATCCCAATCACCTCAAACAGTACCTGTACTTCAAACGTCGAGCAATCAGAAGGCAGTAAATTCATCGATATCGAACAACGACAAAACATCGCATGTCGTAACTCTTGCATCATCGACCCACATTCACGATCGAACATCACCTATATCCAAGCGGAGGAGCAAGTGCCACACTCCTACCAACTATCCGGCACCACTGTCCAGCCAGAAAAACATCAATCATATCTCATCATCAAGAAAATCCCCGAATCGACTGGAAGGTCCGATCAGTCTCTTGGCGGTGAAACCGAAGACGAAAACCGCTCCACAGTTTTCAACTATCAACCGACCGGTAGCAGCGGTACCCTTCAAACCGGCTTCCACCCCCTCGTCCCCAACACCTTGTTCTACGATCGTAACATCCGCAAGAAGCAGAACAATCGCGCAACTCCCCTCCATTGTGTCACCGTATCAAAATTGTCAAATTCTCTTAACCCCGTCTCGAACGACTATCAATTGGGCCGAACGACCTTCAACGGCAGAAAGTCCTGGACCAAACTTTCAGGCGGCAAACTCTGTATCAATCAGTCAACCAGATCAGAAACCTTATTGCCTTTCTACGCCGATGCCGAGAACAGCGGCAATGAACCAGAATCAGTCGGACCAGCGGAGGAAGCAGCAGCAACGAATCTCGACGGTCGTAGCAAACACCGGTCAAGAACCGGCACTTTCATCCACTCACTGTTCCCAGGCCATAATAAGTCCTATACTATCACCGATCGTTCATGCGAGTTACGAAGCCTCGGCCCAAACGATCGAGACTATCCGCTCCTGCGACAGCAGCTCTGCCGTGCGGAACACGAGCTGGAATTGCGCGAACAGCCAGACAGCAAGCCAGCAGCAGTCCAACTCCAGCGGCGTGCCCTCTCGAGGTTCTTTGAGCACGTGAAATTGGAAGAAGCGCATATATCAGCGCCACTTGGAACAAAGCTAGCACACAAAGACGAAGTTGGCGACGACGAAATTGTCCGGGAAGACGCACCCGTCCAACGATACGATGACGATGATGCCGTTACTGAAACTCCACTGTTGACATCATGCGATGATTTGGACGAGGATCGCTTAGTTGTCCGCTTTCCTTGGGTAGAGCACGATACAATCTCGGAAAATTCTCACGACGACAATGCCGCGGATAGGTCACCCATTCATTCTGCTTCGGATATAACTTTAATAAAGCCTTCCGACGATTTCTCCGACCAAATTGAACTTACTTGCGTTAATACACAATCGTCACGCGCAATGGCTTTCCGACAGTCGGTTGAGAATGATTATCCAGCGGCGAGTGTCTTCTCAATTAACACCTATCATGCGAGGCAACAGCAAGACAACGAGGTGATGGCAGCGACGACGGCGATGCGTATCGCACAAAGCAATCTTTCGGATCTTCGTAATGAAGTTTCAGTTCCTGATGATAAGGCTGATACCGAGAGGCAAGACTTACCCAGTGGTAGGCGATCGAGAAGCAGAAGCGACAGTAGTAGCAGTACCAGTAGCAGCAGTGGCCATAGCGACACTCCGGAACAAGCGATGAATGCGAATAATTTCTCGGACGATTTCGAAATTCTGGCCATTGGTATCGTCTCTCCGCAAGAAAAGAGGGAGAAGTTGAGACGGCATGAATCGGCGACGGCGAGCGAAACCGATCGCAGTGACGCCGCCACTGGCTAGATATAATTAGGCTAATTACGTTGACATTAACGTTGTTGATTGTGTGCTCATCGTGTCACTACATCGTGCACACGATACCTCGACGATATGTTTGTAACTTTTCTGAATCATAGCAATTGTGTCAGTATACAATCGCGTTGTACCCTAGAGATATTTTACAACGATATAGTTCAGCAACATTCTGGAAGTTTTTTTGCGCAAGCGTCAGCTGATCGCACTGTATCTCCCACTATATCGTGGCCTACGAGACGTAGGGTAAAAAATGTTACTGCTACAATTAATTGTTTTGCCCTTCCATAGATCTTTTTAGAATTCGCTTGAAATGGTTTTACATAATTAAAATATTAGATTGCTCAAGACGAGGCTTTTTTCATAAAAGTATTTGTTTTTATTTCTTTCACGGAATGCGATATAGAAATCAATTTAGCTTGCTCTGATGATTATATTGTTAATTGAAAAAAAAAAATGTGATCGATATTTTTATGATACAATGATGAGTGATTTGTAACAAGAAAAAAAATTTGTTTCATGTACAACCGATAAACATATTATTTTTATATTTTTGTGATCCTACGATTAGAAAAACGAACACATATCTGAGATGTCGCGCAATTACGTCGAGAGGGATGATACGAGAGGAAGCCTAACTATATTACGTAAATCAAGTCACATTACCATACTGCCTTAATAGTGATGTAAAAGTGGTACTTTTTAAAAACCGGTAATCGGAGAGTTATACGCATCCCAATAAAAAAATGCGTATCGCGACACAATCGATGATCGTCGATCGGAAAATGAGCGATCATGATGAAACATACAATTAATCAAATCCTCGTTACCATAACCGAAAGCATAGATATTAAGGGCAATCGTCCGTAAGTTAAAAAAAAAAAAAAAGAGACGCGGTAGAACCGATCGTCCTATTTCTTACAAAAATCGTATCCTTGCCGTGAAGAGAGAAAGAGAGAGAGAGGAATGTATGTATGTATGTGTATCCGTAAACGATTACTACTGTGGTCAAAGCGACCGCAAAAATTCGATATTAAATGTTACGTTGATTTTAATTCGTTTATAGTTGTTTTCCGCCCGCGGATAGAGAATAAAGCTGTGATTTTCTGCAGCGTCTTACCTGCACGGGGAACCGAAAAGTAATCGTTTGAAAAATGCAATTGCTTCCTCACGAAACATACGACGATGACATTATTATGATTATTATTATTATATTGCCTGCAGTTAAGTTATAACGTCAATTCATCTATTTATTTCGCGTTAAAATGTTAATTTTCGCCGGGCATCATCGCTAGCTTGCCCAATTACATTTACATCTATAACTAATGTATAAAATTAAGGAAAAAGTTGTTATGCAATGTAGGCAACGAGATATTGAGATCGAAATTCGTATTTTTTATGGAATAAAACCACTCAAAAAAACCCAGCCATACTTATATCTATAATTGTAAGTATATTTTACTTCGCCAAGAATCACCTTTTTGCGCGAATCTTTAAAAAGTGCGCTAAAATTTCGCGCTACGCGCAGGGAGGATTTCCGGAAACGAACGAGCGTTGCAACGCGGTGCAACATTCCGTCCAATCGCCGGATAGATTCTCGTTGAAAAATGGCTGAACTGCGGCGGCGCGAGGGAGACGCGCGGGTGGAGTTACCGACTTGGACAAACAATCGGCTAATGACATGTAAATATGGCGAAGCTAATCAAGCGGCTGTGCTAACAGGGCACGAGAAGAGACCCCGTGCCCCATTCGTTCCTGCGCGCGCGCGCGCGCACGCGAAAGGGAGCGAGAGGAAGAGGGAAAGGGTATTCGATACTCTCTCGATGTATTTGCGCGCCCGACCTGCGCACATGCATCGCGCGCGTACATATTTAATGGTTGCACGTTAATTGCGCTCTGTTTGCCCATTCCCCATTCTACGCTCCATCTACACGTCCACCTACATTCTCTTCACCCTTTCCGTACCGCAATTCTCCTTTGTTAGCGTGCGCCGCGCGCGCGGTTCGATTTTAATCAATTCACCTCGAGCACCTAGTTGGTTTACGCTCGCAATCTCACGGAAGCCTACTTTCGCGCATTTCATACATGTATACGCGATAAATTTCGAGTTTTTTGACGCAAACGCGAATTATATAATCTCTTGAGTGAGCGAAATTATTTTTCGACGCGATGCGAACGGGAGCAAATTCGTGACAGTTCGTAAACCCGTCTGTGAGATTCTTTTTGTCTATGGCGTAATCCTTCGTGGTCTGAATTAATCTTGAATCAAGCCAGCAGTATTTTATTTTCGTCTTGTCACGACTGTCTAAGGTAATCGATTCTCTTTTATTATTTGAAGCATTTTATAAAGATTTTAGAATAATATAATCAACATGAACATTGATTATATACATTTATTATATATTTACTATTCATTTTTTTGACATAGAGAAATGCAAAGGTTAACGCGTTATTGTTTGAGGTTTTTTAATTATGTTTATATCATAAAAGAAGTGAATAAGGAAAGTGCATTTTTGTGTCAATAAAGAGAGAAAGAGAGGTCTTGTTCTTCTTAAATATACTTTTTACATATACATTTCTTTCTCTTCCCAAAGCATGAACGCGGACTTGCTTTATGAAATGAGCTCTTAATTAGGAAATTCTTTCTGGTATATTTTCTATTTTTCCTTTTCTTTTGTACTGGATAAAAAAGAGGAATGAATTCATAAAGCAGTTTTTGCGTCTTCATACGTTCTTGTAAATACAATTAATACAATCGCATACATAAATATATTGCGACATTTTTCAGGATAATTCCGGAACTTTGGAAAAAAGGCGCAAATTACAGACGAATTTAATTCCCGCAGTTTGCAGCTCAATGGATGAAAAACTGAACCTGAACTTCCTTCGGTGAGTTTATTTCCTGATATCGTAGATAAAAAAAACTTTATTTAAATATAATCATATTAAAGAATTTTATTTACTAGAGCATCTTTAATAAAATTAATAATAACTTATATAAAAAAGAAACAGTCATGAGATAATTATAGTGTCGGGATAGCATTGAGATTCAAATTCGGTAACAGATTATAGCGGTCTCAGGATTTCGAAAATACCGAATAATTCATTTACTGAACACAATTGCCCGCAAAATTGATTCACCTGGTCTCCCACGTCCTCGCGGTCCGCAGGGATTCAACTCGCAAGGCGAGGCTTTTCGCGGTCGCAAATGGTGCCGTCAACGTTGAGCGGGCACCGAATCTTTTTCGGAGATTGTGTGTGCTCGTTACACGCCTCGCTGAGATCTCGACGTTAATTGTCCGTTAAGCGGGTCGAAGCGCGCATCGTTGTCCTGCAGGAGCCCGCATGTGAAGGTTGATGAGTATTCCCGGATCGAGAGACAAACGAACGCCGTACAGGATAGGGATGGAGGAAGGGACTCCAAAGAAATTTTAATCAAGCCGCCCTCCTCTCCACACGCGCGTAGGTGGACGGGCATGTGTGTGTATGCGTGCGTGCGTGCGTACGTGCATGCGTGCGCCTCCAGTTCCGTGGTAAATTACACATACGGGTTCCATTACCGGACCTCGTTACTTTGGAATCGAAAGGCTCGGCGTCTCTCCCGGCCACCGCGATGCTTCCCCGGCTACGAGCAATCGATATCCTTCCAATAGGGGACTATCAAGCATCGTTTAGTGACGCTCGCCGAATTCACCTAAGAATGCGATTAGAGAGTTTCGTAAAGAGAGATTTTTGCAAACTCCGTGCGAAAATTAATAAAATTCTTGTGTATTCATACGTGTCTTTTCTTTTGATTTTTAAATTTAGATAGGGATTATTTATTGCCTTTAATAGCACGGTGCGAAATAACGTTCACCAGCGAAAAAGTTCCTCGAGAAAAGAAAAGCATACGAGGGGTAACGGGAGAAAACGAAGGGGGAGACAGCTCGCTACATCCTTTACAATCCTTTAACGATGACACATTACTTCCGAGCCTTCCCAATGGTCGCAATTCCGGCTACGTTACTGTCACTTAGCGAACCGAGTCGCGAATCTGTCTCGAAGGATACCGGCAAGTAATCCCTTCTCGAAATTTACTCTGAAAGACAAAGTCTCGTACGGAATACAGAGCCTTGATATTTATAGCCTGCATTTTTTATATTTCATTAATTTACTCTGGAAGTAGTATGACTTCATTATTAAGTAGAAATGGAGAAAGGATTTAATCCTCAATATATATCTATTTATATTTACATATATATTTTATATTTACTTATATTTCAGAATATTTTTCTATTATAATATAATAAAATGTTACATAAATAATTATCTTCTCGAAAGAAACATTCATGTCACACATTTTCTTTTTTCTTACCGCATTGGTTTTATCTTAAAATGACAGAAGCGTAGGAAGAGAACTGTATATAAACTATGTATAATTATATTTTATGTATATACATATTTTTTTTTGATAAGTTCAAAGTTAGATTTTTACTTTTTTCTAAATTTTCATGCCCTATATTTTATTAATTTAATCTTATTACATTAAAATATATGCTCTTGTGAAATTAAAAAGTATGTTACATAAAATTCATTTAAAATTAAATTAAAGTAAATTAAAGAGATTACGAAAATTAATTCGCGCGAAGAATCTTCTCAATGACTTACAATACGAAAAGGAACTTTTAAAATTCAACATTTCGAAAGAGAGAGCCATGAAACTTTCTCTTCTAAGTTTTTGAATTCTCAACACAATTCCAAAGTTTGTACATATAGTTTTTTTCCTGTATAAGGCGAGAGTTCTGCGAAAATACTGCTCGCGTACTTTGCACGCGGTCATTGCAAATTGCGAGCGATAGCCGAGGTGAGAGCATACCTGCGACGTCTCGAAGTCATTCGCGAAGTTTTTCCTAGGATAACCGTACAGCTGTGGGGACGGTGGGGAGGATAAGAACGTCGAGAAGATGAGGGTGTGGGTGAAGAGACAGTCCTTAGTGGTGTTGCCATCGTCGTCCTCGTCGTCGTTGTCGCCACCGCTCTTCTCTCTTTCTCCATCGTTTTCTCCTTGGTGCAGGCAAGTGCGACCGATGAGACGTCCGGAGGACGACCGGCGAACGGTTAGTTAAGGAACACGAGAAAGCACTTCTGGATCACTCTCGGCGTTCGCGTCCCTCCTCCGCGACCACCGTCTCGAATGCGAAGATACGATCGACTCTCCCCATAGATATCATCTCGTGCATATAATACGTCAATTTCGCATCCTTGTCGAAGCGCCGTCGTGACACATGTGGCAAAAGATCTCCATTTCTCTTATTATTTCTTAATCCCGAGCGGAATGTTCGCACTTTCGGAGCGTTTTGCTGACCAAAAGTTATACTCTTCTTTGCGGGATGATCAAATCAAAAGACATCACACCCGATAAATAATTTTATTGCTACTTTTATCTTCAATGAATATATTCTTAAAAGGCTTTTGGACCATATCCATTACTTTGGAATCGATACAGCGAATCAATATTACTTAAAATTATCTTAGGTACTGCGTCATTTGCGATCCAATTTTTGAAATATAATATTTTCTCCTAGCTTTATATTTATAAATGGTATGTCTATTATGAGTACATGGAAAAATAAAGAGTGATTTTCCGAAGAAGGATTTTCTGAGATATTCGACGTAAAAGAGACTTCCTCCTCCGTCTCATCTTTTCTCGTTGTGCTACGGTGGATTTTTTAGCGGTGCGCGCCTTTTTCCCGCGAAACCGAACTCAGAAGCGATGCATCATAATCAGGCGGTCAACTTACTTAGTCCGGAGTGCTGCGCGCTTAAGTTAATTAGCTAATTACTAATTTTAATCGGATGACGTATGCGCATCTCGGGGGATACAAGCAAACCCTCTTAGCTGGGGATAGCTCACCTCCCTCTAACTCCTCGTATACTCTCGCATAAATGCACACACATACATACGATCTCTCTCTCTCTCTCCCCCTCTCCTACTCTTTTTGACTTGAGACTATCCCCTGTCGTATACGTCCGACAGGGCAATCCCACGGTCTAAGTAATTTAACTAAAACTTCTCGGACATTTTTCCACCATTTTCGACCGTTGGGGCTTTCTCTTTTTCTTTCCCTCTCTTTTTCTATCCTTCATTTTCGTCCGAGTGCGAGCGTTCGTTTGCAAACGCGTAATTTCTCAGGCTTTGTTGACCGGACGTACAAGAGCGTTTTATTCAGTAACGAGCGCTCTCGCGCGTATAAAAGGCAACGGATGTAAAAATAAGAACGGTCGCATTTCGCGGAAAATCGTAGTAATTATGTCACGCTTAAACGACGAAAGAACGAAACTCCCGAAATAAGATGTCTTAAAATAAGGCGAAAATCGGAGCATGTCGTATTTTTAACGATATGCCGGATCGCGGATATTATTAGTTATCGTTCGAAGCATCGAGATTTTAATTTGAAAATAATGTTTCAATTTAATTTAAAATTTCATTTGAATTATCACTGGAAAATTATGCATTACCATCGTACAACGAAATTACTTAAGACACAAATATTAGAAGTAAATTTATCAAAGTACACAAACATTACGTGAAAATATTATCTTAAAACGGTTATAAAAATTCTGTCTTGATTTGAAATTATTGCGAGACGATCAGTTCGACTCCAATATCTGCTGCAATTTGCTATTAAAATTAATGACTCTAACGCTTCGTTAGAAGAAATCTTACTTCTCCTAAATGTACAATGACACAGCGAGCAGAGCGATAGCGTCCGAGACAAAAAAAAAGTTTGGTCGCGCCGGAGAGCGCGCGCGAGGAGATAGTAAAATCTAGACTCGTTCCGTTAACGAGACACGGGTACGATTACAAGGGGATAACGACCGCCCTTGGAAAAACATCGGGGTCCAAACCGCTGGCCGGCTGGAACGTCGCGCGGCGCGGTCTTTTATCACCGGCCGCGCCGATAATGCGGCGTTGTTAACGCGGCTGAATCCAATATCTACGTCGACAAATTGGCAACGAGCGGGAAGAGGAGAGGGGGGAAAACAGAAAAGCCGTCCGCAAACAGTTGTTATTAATAATATGCAATATGTATCGAAGGCCTCTCTGCTCTCCGCCTGCCTGTATTTGCGGCGCGTAAGCTTCGCGATATCTGGCCGCCACTTTCAGCGTGCGCAGAAGAGGAGAACGTTGGCCGCGTTTGCTAATGAGGTAGGAATTAATTAATCGAGACCTGCGCGAACGCGAGAACCGAGGAAGAGGTAGAAGGGAAGAGAGAAGGGGGAGATTGTGAAGAGGATGGTCCAAAAGAGCCGCGGAAGAGGAAATGGTACTGATATACGCGAGTAACGCGTTAGGAGGATTCGATGCCCTCTCGATGGATTCAGACAAATATAATACGCTCCGCGTATGGCTCCCCAGCTTCATCGTCGTATTCGCTGCTTGTTGATCAAAATTGCGGATCTGAAACATAAATAGATGAATAGAGATAGTATTTTGAATTACTTCTCACAGACAACAATTAAAATCAAAATGAAACAATTAAAGTAGAATAGGTGAATAATTTTTATAGAGAATAATAAAATTATAATTTAAAAAAATTCAAGAAGACAAATTTTTTCCTTCGACGCTTTAATTACGAGAGATTCGAAAATTAGATGGTTGATGACATCTTTTCTCTAATAATAAACTTTGATATTTGCGTCGTTCCATTTCCCATCAGAACCTATAGCAGAGATACGGTCGCGACGAAGCTACGTGAAAAGGGGATGTCATAATTAGAGGTCTATAATTGCGTGGAATTATGGAACTAGAATCGCGCGAACCAACCATTCAGTGTCATGCTATTCGCGTTCATATTACCCCACAATCCAGCCACCTGTCCGCGTTAAAGCGAATCACAGAGATGCGTGTATGGCAATTGCATCTCGGAATTGCGCAGAAAATTCGCATTCGATCCTAAGCGTATGCGTAAAATTCCACGACGAATTTCACGAATAATCCTTCTCTTTAATGAGACCTAGGTAATAGAATATATATCGCACGCGCGCGCACTCGTATCTGTCTTTTAATTAAACATCTCGACAATTAGTATCACGTAGATAACTAAGGCGCGTGCATCATTCTGACGCGTTACATCGCGTAGGAAGTTTCTATCCGTTCCGTTCCGTAATGAGGCAGATTATTCGCGTCGACTCGACTGACAAGAAAACTAACAAGAGTGTGCATAGGAAACGGTTTGTCGTTTGCATGCCGATAGCATGACGACATCCTCAAATTGAAAGATAAGTGCATCTGTCAACGGCGGGCTATCTCTCCTTCCCCCTCGTTCACTTTCTCAAGAATCGATATATTTTTCAGCTTCGCAAATGTAGACGGAATCTATAACTTGCTGGTTAATGCGCACGAAGAAAAGACGAAAAAATATATCATAATTCTAATATTTTCACTCTGCAGAAAACATTACACAACGGTATATAAGTAGTCATTTATGTGTACACAGTGTCTCAAAATAATTTCAATTTCTAAACACTGACATAAAATGTTTTAGTACACATACAATTTTTATAAACTTTAATTGATATTATTACACAATTACCTTATATATACAATTGAAAATTAATAATATACATTTCTTAAAAATAAATGAGATACTTCGCTCTGCATATAGAGTTTTTATATTATAATAAATATAAATAATTGAAATGGACGATACATAATCTTTGTATAACATCATTTTTATTCGTTATTAATTTTAGAAAAAGTGATGCGTTTTCTTTTCATTTTACTTGGAAAGACACATTACAAGAAAAATGATAACGTTCCAAAATTAAATATATATATATGAACAAAAACAGCTTGTAAACGAAATGATATTTACTTTTCGTCAATCGAATGAAAAATTATTCCATGAAGACATTTACGAATTTGGCCCAATCCACAGATGTCGAAGCTCTCTCATGTCTAGTAAAAATAAAACTGTGACCGTCCCAACATGGAAGAGATAGAGAGAAAGAGAGAGAAAGAGAGGCTTTCTCGCACGAATGGCGCTTTCTTCGGGTTGGCAATCCTTCACAGTTAACGCCCCTAATCGTATTCATTAAAGTGCTCTCAATGCTTTTACACGGCTCTCAAGCCCGCTACCACTTTCTCGCTCCCGCTTCTCGCAAAAGCTTCTTTCTCGTTCCCCGCATCTCCGTTCCTCCATCGCCCCTTCCGCCTCCGCTTTCAACGTCCAAGATTTCGAGCGGATTCCCTCTCACTTACTTCATCCCTCCTCCTCCTCTTTCTCTCTTTCTCTGCAAGTTAAATAAAATCTATCTGTCTTTCCTTCTCTATTTTTCTCCTTCGCCCATTTCGCTGGGACCTCTTGGTCCCTTCTCTCTTACTACTTGGACCTGATCGTTCATCAGGAGAGCTTTTAAGTTGGCAACAATGCACGGATTTATAAACCACTGGCACCAGGCATTGTTATCGGCGAGTGATTGGAAGGCGTCGTTTCGACACTAGCCGAATACCAACCATCGGTTTGCCCGGCCCATTGTTGACCCCTTTATCTTGGAAATTCGTGGGTGCTACGGTCTTCTACCTTCTGCGTGCCCACCCGTCCGTCTGTCCTTCTGCCCGTCCAGAGACTCGCTAAATCACTCGGGTTTTATTGATGGACCGCGCGCGCCCAAGCGCGGGTCGGCGAACCGGTATCACGGCTCCTGATAAACGGTCCATTGTGGACCGTCTTTTCTTCATGATTCCTTCGTGTGTCGCGTGCGCGATAGTTTCATTTCCTATTCGAGACTGCCGAATCGGATTTACTCGTTCGTGGCGGTCGAATGACGCTCTGATGCATGTCGGAATACGGATTGACATAGCTACACCTACAGCAAATGCCTGATTGCAAGTCTTATTAAGACGGAGAGACATCATTACGTTTGTAATAGTGTCCTATTTGGAGAAATAGAAGCACATTTAATTGGAACATGATCTTTAGAATTCCAGGAGTTGCAGCTGTCGATTTAATAATGACAGAAATAGATAAACGGTTACCGCAAAAATGTGAAACAATATGACATTTTTTCACTTTGAAATTATTTCTCTAAATTAATCAGTAGGAAATAACGATATAATAAATTAAGAATAAAAAATCTATCATTTATTTTAAGTTTTGTAAGCTTTTACTGCGAGACCATCTCAATTTTTATCAACAATATGTAGCAAATAGTTTTGAACTAGTTTCGAATAACTCATCTTTTTCTATAATTTTTATATTATTTCTCGCTCGAAGCTAATTTAAATTTAACATTAACCAGAACCGCCTTATATTGCGAATTATTGTTCTTTTTCCCATTGAACGTTCGCAATCAAAACTGGATACGTCGAAGAAAGAAACGTGACCGCTGTTCGCAATATGTAGATGAGATTTCAAGTCCGCATTTAACTTTAAATCGGCGTCAACGTGTGTCGTGTCGTGCGATACATTCTCACCCCACTGTCTATGTTTCACGTTTTCTATACCGCGGTGTAGCTTTAATACGGAGCACGTGGATGCGCGCCGATCTCACCGAATTATACGCGTCGGTGACAGTCGTCGTTACAATGGGGTACCGGGGTGAATCGCGCGTCTCTATCCCTCCCTCTTCTCCTCGGCGCGCAAGCTGACTTTCCCATGATGTGCTCGTAATCAGATCATCTCTATCCTACACACCCTACCAATACTAATACCATACAACGTGCTGTATGCCGCACTATATATATAGGTGCCATTTACCCTGTCCTCTGTCCTTCCCTACCATATTATGCTGTCCACCACACACCTCTGTCAGCTTCGCTTCCATCGCATCGGCTGCGTCGCACACGCACGCAAAATCCCGCACTGTAATCCCTGCGAATTTTCTAACTAACTGCTTTTTTAGGCGCCGTTCAGCCGAATAATCGATCTAATGATCAGTCTTTGTGTTACTGAAGGGTGAATATAATGGCGAATATATATTGTATTATCGTGCGCTTTGTATTACGTGTCCGTGATAGTTTTACGCACAGTGATCTCTTTTTCAAAGCCGTAATCGAAACTCGAATACTTGGAGATGCAATTTCACTAGCGGTAATAAATTTAAAATTTTTTAACACGACCTTTAACTCTACATTATTTATATTATACGTTCATTATTTAATTATATACTGTTGAAATTGATTAGTCTTTAAAATCAATATTGTGGCTTGATTTTAATCTGCGCAATATTTGCAAAATTCTATATTTTTTTTCTAAAATTATTGTAATCCACAAACGGTATATTTCTCGGAGTTTAGTTTCTATCTCTCGCATAAATACCAGAGTTGTAATAAATGCAACACTGCTCGCTTTGCGGCGCATTGCCAGAATTCTTGTACGTGCTAAAATAATATAACGTAAAGTCGGGGCGCGTAGAAAGAATTATCGATTTTCAAGAGCGACTGGCACGTGTCCCAAATACCGGGACACGTGCCGGATCCGTTCGATTTCAGGGAACCGCGAGAGATGCGCAACCGGAGTGAGGTATCGGCTTTCGCACGCGTATCCGCGGTGCGTTTGCATCGCGTGTACATTACGCGCGTATAAATGCGTTTACGTATCGACCCCACACGCGCGCGAGATTTCGAGGTTGCCCTTCTGCCAGCCCGCCCGTGTTAGAGAGAAGCAATCTCCCATCGATCTAATCCGTAATTACGTCGCTGAAAGAGCGACCCGGGAGTCACGGACACCTCGATAACGGAGAAACCGAGTGCCCTAGTCATTTTTCAGGCGGGTAGGCTTTTTCCCTGCGATCAACTTTCGCCCCTCTTTCTCTCAGAGAGAGATGACATCTTTTATATTAATACTATTAATGGAGAACTACATACAGTTCTTTTTCTATTAATACTGTGAATAAAATATTAATTTATTATATTCAACTTTAAATTACTTTATAAATTATTCCGTGCTCATTTCAAATGCTATTAATAAACAATTTTATCAAGTGTAAGATTTATTTAACGTTTTCGATCCTAGTTGCAGGTGTTTCATTTTTTGCGTCATAGAATTGCAAATTGTTCATATTATTCACATCGAATATATGTGGGTCACATCTCAATTTAAATTTTACATTGATTAAAATGAATTAAATAACATCGTAAACTTTTAATAATGCTGACATATCCTAAACTTGTTAATTCGAATACACGTATTACATTAATAATAATCATTAAATAATATCGACTCTGCTTTTATGTCGCTGCTATTCAAGATTTTTCGTATTGATTACAATTGATGCAATTTTATCCATAATATTCGCCCATGACGGCCATAACGGTTTCGTGTCTAAATACGCTCACACGCTTCTTTGCCGCGCTAATCTGTCCCTAATCGTCTACCGACTTTGTCACGGCCGTACCATTTTCCCCGGCGATTCAATGCGAACCACCGTGAAGGATCCGCACCCCACAACGGCTCT